AAAACAGCGAATTGTATTTTCTGATATCGCTCCGCTCGTTGACTCACTTTTATATGTATATAATATATATATATATATGTTTATATATATATATTTTTATAATCGCTATCACTTGACAGCCCAAACATGCTACGGTTCGTGCCCATTAAGCCCATGTGCAATTTCTGTGCACCAATATATTCAGTTGATTCGATTTTAAATCGAGCATTTTGCGTCGCACTCGATTGTCTCAGTCGCCGCAGTTATCAGCGTTGGCATTAGGCACGTTATTGAAATGTAGTCGCCGTTGCGGCGATAACAGCTTTCAATAGTTGGCTGGGGGTTAGGCGGGGTTACGCGGGGTTCAAACCGGCCAGATTGCTAGCTAGCTATGAAATTACATATGTAGCTAATGTCAGTTGTTTTCATTGTTATTGTTGTTCTGGATGGAATAAAACAAAAACAATAGAAAACGCTAAGCAATAATTGAAGTTGATGTTGAAATGGATTTTTGTTCTATTATACACATCAGTGGCAACTGTATTTAATCATATGAGTAATATAGATGCATATATAAATATATACATTGTTTCGTCATTTTACACACTCGCGCCTTGGCACACTAATCTATTCTTTGCAGCTTTACTAAAAGTATATAAAGTCTACTTCGATTTATAAATTTCTTAAATATTCTTCGCGAAGAAAACAGGTTTACTCCGTAACTCCGTATCTTAATATTATTTAATGTATCTCTTGGAGCTCCATCGAAATTCTTGATCATAGTATTTATAGTCTGTCTCATTAAATACTTGTACTTATTTTATGGGTGATTAACGGATAATTGATACAACCTTAGTAATTATATATATTTACATATATTTACCTATTAAAACGTGTGTATTAGAAACATAAAAAGTGCTTCAAGAGCTTATTATATTGAAAGATATACACAATAGATATTTGCTTATAAGCTAAAAAAGAAAAGTTAAAACACAAACATGATGACAAAATCAACAATAGTAAGTCTTAGTTCGGAATTTAATGTTGGTTATCAAAGCTCTCATGATCTATTTGATAACTTCAACAAAATCATCAGCCCAAATTTAAAGTATACACTTATAATTTCACATAATCCTTTGAAGAAATATTATTTTATCAACAAAAAAACAACTAAGAGAGTGAATTGATTTGATAATTAGTTTACCTCTTTTAAATATTCTCACATTCAAATTAACAGGTTTTTCCTGTTATTTTTTCTCATATTTACATAATACGACGATATTATGTCCACTTGTGCTATCAGTGTAAAATTACATATGATATGTAGATACTATTATCAGTTTCCACTGATTAACTAATTATAGTAATACGAATAATTATAGTTCCCACAGATTTAAATAAAATATGCATACATTTTACTGTACTGTACCTTGTCATGTTATATGCTAGATGTTTTATACGAATTGGCATTTTCATAGATCTCTCTTTTAGAATTTCAAATAAATATGTTCGAATTTATATTTAGGAACAAAACCAAAAAACAAATTGGCTAAAAATAAAATCCAAATTACGTAGTTCGTGCAAAGTTTGCTTTCAGGCAGTCGCAACAAACAAATCCACAATACATATGTAGTATCCACCTCTTGAAAAATCAAACAAATCTACATCTGTGTACGTGCCAAGCTTTATGTATATGTTGAAAGATATGGATAGATGTACATCTATTATAAACGTATGTGCGCTTGTTTATATTTGGTTGAGTTTATGGAAAAAGAACTTAATTTATTCGAATTGTTTAATAGAAAACCTATTGACAACTTGTCAAATAATCCCTCAGAACAAAATCATAAGCTGAAAGTATGCACAGATCTTATTAGGAACCCTATAAAATGTGTATAAAAATCAACATCTCTGAATTTTTTGAGTTTCATTTTAATACAAGATTTAAGAACATATATATCAAATAATAACAAATGATCATTACAATTTCGAATTGCTTTTTAATTGTATATAGAATCATCATAAGCTTTATACACAACAGTACATTTTTAATAGAACCTTGCTATAAATATTAATATTCGCGCTACACAACTCGAAAATACAAAAACAAGCTAGATATATATACATACATATATCTAGATACATAAGTATCTATACTCAGTTACCATTTTTCATATTGTATTTCGGGGGCTCGACCCGAACGCCGTATAGGTAAATATAAAATGAACAGACTAGAGCTTCATAAACTAATAGATACATCCGCTTCATTCTGCGCCAACAACAACATTGTGTATCACTTGTTGCGCTTATCAGCGGCACTCGAATGAGCTTTTTTATGGATTGTCAATAAAAAGTATTTGCGAAAAATGGAAAACGAAATACAAACAAAATTCGAAAAAGAAATTGAAAAGGCAAGCGTTGAGGGGTGGGTATTTTTAATCTCAGATTACGAATCGATATGGACAACAACAACAACAAGAATCTATAACAAGAAACTAAGAAGAAAACATGCAGCAACAATAACAACAACAACAACAACAACAACAACAACTTCTCGTTTTGCAGAACTAACGGTGACGCAGCATATCAAAAAAAATTGAGCTCTAACGATGACGCTGCACAAATTTATGCGCTAGCGAGAATTGACAACAACGAGTTGGCAACTCTCTCAGACAACGACAGACACACCGAGCGAGCGAGCGAGCTTTATGGCAAAACTAAAGTAATTTATGGCACCACAATATAGGAATTTCTTTCTTTATTTTTTGGATAAATAAAAGCTTAAAAAAAGCAAAACAAAATGCAAGATAAAAAATGTTCATAACAAAATTTGTTGTTGACTTTTTATTCTCTTTAGTGCTCATCTTCTGACTTCTATCTTCAAAATTCAAAGTATTTGCACTATTTTCTCTTTCAAGTGCAATCTTCAAGTATTCTTTTGCAACAACAAATGACAATTAGTGATTGGGTGGGTGGGTTAGTTCTGGCTAGGCGTGAAAAGGGTGTTAATTGCAATGTCTGCGAGTTTGTTGAACTAAAGTGTTAAGTTGTGTATTTAGTAATCACCGAATGTATATTAGATAAATGAGTGCTAATTAGTAATATACACATATCTCGACCTATACTAATTGTTGAATCATAGTGATAAATCTTAAACTTGCAATTCATTTTTATTTAAAAATAGATATTTTAATCCTACGCTCAATAATATAAGATTAACATGTAAATACATTATAATATATATTTATTAATTATTTTTATTTCTGATACGGATTTGTTGACAGTTGTGACTAATTAATATTTATTACGTTAATTTTATAAGCAACCCAATAATTTTTAGTGTGATTAAAATAATCGGTTATATTAAAATTCTATACCATAGACATTATAGACTTATAATATGTTCATGGTAATATTTCAATTGGGCTTATACACTCAATGAAAAATGTTCTGGTTTTGTTTTTTCATAAATTTCGTATTGTTTTTTCATAATATTCCACAGTCCCCAATGCATACATTAAAATTATAGACGACTTTTTGTTTTTGTTTTTATCGTAGCAGCTTTTCTTTGTGTAGTTCTGGTTCTGTTTCTCTGTGTCTATCTCTCGCCCTCACACACACAAGCCCATAGAGAATTCTCAATTTAAAGCCGGCTTTTTTTTTTATTTATTTGTTTATGTGCTTGCCTTCCCGCATGCTTTTGCTTGCGTTGTCTTCAAAATTAATGCCTTACCTATGTATGTATGTGTGAGCGTGTGGCTGTCTCTCTTCTCTTCAAACATGCATTCATGTGCGCTCCAAGTCTGGTTTTGAGCACTCTCTGAGAGCGCCACACAGCGACAAAAATATGTACATATGCAAACACAGTGAATTGATTTAAGCGTCGATTAACGCACACAGTCACACACAAACGTACACGAATAGAGACAGAGACACAGAGCGAAAGCCGAAACATACGATATGGATATGGGGCAGCGGCACTGGCGTTGCGAGCAGCGACAGCGACCGCAGCAGAGGCTTGGCGCTGTGTGCACGGTCAGCCAGCTAGGCAGCCAGCCAGCGCGCTCAGTGAAAAATTTCGTGTCGTCTCGTCGCTGCGTGTTTTCATTAATCAGTAGCACTAAAATGGTGCGCAAGTCCGGTAGAGTTAAAATTCCTACTAGTCGCGACGTTGGCAGTATTCTGTTGCGTGGCAGCAAAGGGGTTGCCAATGGTGGGCGTGTTAACGATGAGGAGGCAATGGTCAGGCGACAGCACCAAAGGCAACGGCGACGTATACGACGGGACAGCAGCGCCAGCAATTCAGCCTCAAGTGATGGTGTGTGCTCATGTGTGTGTGTGTGTGTATGTGTATGTGTGTTTTCTTTTTGCTATTTGTGTTATTGCGCGATTTGTTGCCATTTTAATTTATAGTATTTACCTTGTGTCTGTTTTTCTGGTACACACTTATATAAAAATGTATGCTTTATAAATATTTTTGAGTAGCTTAAAAAGTCTAAGATCAGTTCCCCTCAAACTGCGCAATACGAATACTGCATTTTGCGCATGCAAAGAAAGTGAACCTCTAACAAACTGTGAAACTGTGAAACAACTTGTGGGCTACTCAAACTGTAAGCAGTGCTGTTCAGCTGCGTGTACATGCATATTGGTCAGTGCTTGTCCAACTGCTATTTTTGTGCTGCAATTTGTAATTTTAATATTTGCTATGCAGCCTTACAACGTTAAATATAAATATGTACATACATAGGCTGATATACGCATCTACATACATGTATACAAATGTTTTCTTATTTGTTTATTTTTTTTGTTTTGAGCGACTCTGCTGGTCATCAGATTTTTGACCAGTGCTTTTCAAACTACACATACGCTTATTGCATTTGTTTATCTGTATCTGTAATGCTTAAGCTGTAAACTGTAAAACAGTTTTGCTTGACTACAATGAATATCGAACTATTGTTAAATTATTTATTTATTTTGTGCGTTTTTTGATTCAAATTTTACCTGCTTTCTCTCCTGTACAGAATCGGCGGAAAGTCAACTAATGCATGCGGAGGCGCTGCCGGTGGGTCATCCCGCTGGCTCGCCGATTGGCCATGCCCTCAGTCCCAATGGCGTTGTGCTCGGCCTTAGCAACAGCAGCAATCAGAGCAGCGAGAATTTTACGCTCTGTAATGGCAGCAGCAACGCCAGCAACAACAACAACAATAACAACAACATGTACTCACCGAACAACAACAACAACAACAATGGCAACAACAGCCAACAGCAGCAGCAGCAGCAACAACAGCAGCAGCAACAACAACAACAGCAGCAGCAGCAACAACAACAACAGCAATCGCCCACAGTATGCGCAATTTGTGGGGATCGGGCAACGGGCAAGCATTATGGCGCCTCCAGCTGCGACGGCTGTAAAGGCTTCTTCCGGCGCAGCGTGCGCAAAAATCATCAGTATACCTGCAGGTGAGTGTAGCTACAAGATATGCTCAACGAAAGCATCTATAAGTCTGCGCCCGCACAGATTCTCGCGCAACTGCGTCGTGGACAAGGATAAGCGCAATCAATGTCGCTATTGTCGTCTGCGCAAATGTTTCAAGGCGGGCATGAAAAAGGAGGCGGTGCAAAATGAACGCGATCGGATCAGCTGCCGACGCACCTCCAACGATGATCCCGATCCGGGCAATGGCTTATCCGTTGTCTCGCTGGTCAAAGCGGAGAACGAATCACGCCAGTCGAAGGCTGGTGCCGCCATGGAGCCGAACATAAATGAGGATCTCTCGACGAAACAATTTGCCAGCATCAACGATGTGTGCGAGTCCATGAAACAGCAGCTGCTGACCCTAGTCGAGTGGGCCAAACAGATACCGGCCTTCAATGAACTCCAGCTGGACGATCAGGTGGCACTGCTGCGCGCCCATGCGGGCGAGCATTTGCTGTTGGGCCTTTCGCGTCGCTCCATGCATCTGAAGGATGTGCTGCTGCTCAGCAATAACTGTGTCATCACCAGGCATTGTCCAGGTAAGACAGAACCTAATTAACTTGTTCGTGTTCCTAGCTAATCCCCCCCTATCTTTATATCTACCTGCAATTGCAGATCCACATGTCTCGCCCAATTTGGATATATCGCGTATTGGAGCGCGCATCATTGATGAACTGGTGGTTGTTATGAAGGATGTTGGCATCGATGATACCGAATTTGCCTGCATTAAGGCATTGGTCTTCTTTGATCCCAGTAAGTGGAGTTTTAAATATGTTAGCAGCTGCTATTAGAGATGTAGTCGACCAAAGTTTTGCATTCATATTCCGACTGTAGATTGAATTTCTCTAAACCGTTTAAACGCGGCAGAGATTTTTGCATAGATCTCAACAACGATCGCATATTAAACTTATTGTATATTCATTTTCTGATATTGGAAGCAGAGTTTCAAAAATCGATTAAACATGTATCAATTAATATCTGTTTGTGTAACAATTAAACTGTAGCTCATTTTCCGTTCTTAAGGGTGTCTTTTAAGAAACGCAGTCCCTAATTTTATAATGTGAACCTCTATCAGACAGACATTTAGAAAATTATTTTGTCCCAAATAAAACTAATTTGCTTGCTTAATTGTAGATGCCAAGGGTCTCAATGAGCCGCATCGCATCAAATCCTTGCGCCATCAGATACTCAACAATCTGGAGGATTACATTTCAGACCGACAATATGAGTCGCGTGGTCGCTTTGGTGAGATCCTGCTCATCCTGCCGGTGCTGCAGTCGATTACCTGGCAGATGATCGAACAAATACAATTTGCCAAAATCTTTGGCGTGGCGCACATCGACTCGCTGCTGCAGGAGATGCTGCTGGGTGGTAAGTGGATGCCATAATCTCAACTATAACAGTTTATTAAATATATCCTTGACTGCCAACAGGTGAGCTGGCCGACAATTCGCTGCCGCTGTCGCCGCCCAATCAGTCCAACGACTACCAAAGTCCTACGCATGTCGGCAATCTGGATGGCAGCCAGGTGAGCTCCACACTGGACACTTTGGCCACAGCCAGCAGTGGTACACATGGCCTGGATCTGGACGTGCAGCATATACAGGCGCTCATCGAAGCCAACAATGCGGAGGATACATTCCGCGCCTATGCGGCCAGCAATGCGGCAACGGCTGCCGCTGCTGTTGCTGCTGCCACCCCCACGGCTGCTGTAACGCCCCCATTAAGCAGCGCCGCCTGCAGTCCCAAGTCACAGGAGAACGCCTATATGGATGCCACGGCGGCCCGTCAATACAATGTGCAGCACAAGAGTCAGCTAATGCACAGTCCGCAGAGAGTGCATCCCTACCAAAGAGTGGCCTCATCGCCGGTCGATGCCGGCCTGGGCATGCGCAATCCGGCGGATATCACGCTTAACGAATACAATCGCAGCGAGGGCAGCAGCGCTGACGAGATGTTGCGCCGCACGCCCCTTAAAATACGCGCGCCGGATTTGCTGGCGCCCACCTATGTGATGGGTGTGTAGCTCTAAATCTTTATATATAATGTCTGAAACTAATCTGCGTCCACTCTCTTTTTCAGAGCCATGTCGCATGACGCTCAAACAGGAGCCCGAAACGGGCTATTAACTGGTGCAATAATCTTAGCTACACACATACACCACTCTACTTCCCCATCCTAATGTCTCCTCCCCATCACCTCTACAGGCCCCGTCTTGCTAGCTGCTAAGTGCTAAAAAAATCAAAACACAAAAACTTACTTAATTGTTATTGCCTTGAACTTTTTGATACCGTTTTTATTAGACTTTAAGTAGGTATTTTGGAAATTGTTGCTTAATTTGTAAAACACGCAATTGCAATCTATTTTTATATTTTCTTATGATTTTTTTTGAGCTGAAATGAAAAAGAAAATCAAGTCAAAGGATTTGCTCTAAAGTTTATACTAAACATAGCACGTACTGTTGTCAGTTTGTTGGTTATCTTTATTATACATATTATGCAGACATATGTATATATATGCAATACTTTGTTTTAGGTTAGGGTGTTGTTTAGTAGTATAAAATATATAAGTACGTTTAATCGATAGTTGATGAAAAATTGAAGAACTATTTTTATATGAATATATATATACTGTATGTATAAAATACAAAGTAATTTAAAGTGGCTGAGTGAATAAAAAAAAAAAAGAGAAAACAAGTATTGTACACAAATTTTAAAAACTATCGTTTTTTTGTAATTGAATTGTTAATTTGATACTTTGGTTTATTGAGATAACATTTTCTCTTTAGAATGAAATGTTGATAACACTTATTTGAATAACAAAACTGTCGCGCGCCAGTTACCGCAATTAACATTTATTAAAATATATCGAAGTAAGAAGTGCTCATTTATCGATATTAATCTTAATCTTAACATTTAAAGAGAGGAACGAACAAGTGACATATCGATATAAAGTTCGACTATCGATGGTTTGACACAGAACTCTCAGCTGACGAACAGCCCAGCACTATTATTTAATGTCATTTCATTTTTCGTTGTGCGCAATAAAGTGAGCTGCTAGCAGACAAGAAAAAAGCGAATAATATCTGCTAAAGCAGAAACAGTAGTTTGTAAAAATTGCTAAAATTTGTAAACTTTGCTAAACAATTTGTAACTCCTTATAGAAAACAAAAAAAAAATCTACAAAATACACAGTGCAAAAGGCAAAGGCTAGACGAAATAGCGAATTAAATATGTTTGGCCATAAATTCATAATATGCACCGCATTGCTCCTGTTGAGCAGCTCTGGTGAGTAAGCCTAAAACTAACCCCCAGTCCGCGTGACGCCCGCAAAAACCTGTGCAACTCTTTGTTCAATTTACTTTTGCTTGTTCATCGCAATTTAATTTCTATTTTGTTTTTTGTTTTTCGCCTATTGGCGTCTCGCTTGCACGCACGTAACCCGTTCGTCGGGCTGATGGCTGTTTTTGTGGTTTTATCTACAAGGGCTGATGAAAAACAGCAAAACTGAATCGCATGTAGAATAATTAATACTTATTAAGCGTATATATGTGCGTTTGTGTATTTTGCAGCACATCGACATTTATCTGGTTTTAGTGTGACACTCTTTTTTTTTTCTTGCGGTTTGTGCAGTGTAGGACAAAGTGCTAAAGTAAAATCTAACAAGATGGTGGCTTAGTACCGCTGCAACAAAGGCGAGCACAAAGGCAAAAGCAAATTGCAGCCAGAGCGCAACTTCAGCTTGTCTCCACTTTATGCACACACACGAACACACACACAAATGCTGATGCATATGTTTGCTTGTATTGTATGCTGCGCTTATCTAACCAACAAGAACAACTAGAACGTCGGTGGGTCCGTTCTACCTGCATAGAGCATGAGAAACGCAAATGGCAGATAAAGCAGTTTGATTTGAGAAAAGGTCTTAGCTCTGTCTGCCGCCAGCAGCAATATGCACACGCCCCCGCATTACCCCGCCACACTACACACACACACACATATACACTAACATGCAGGCATATTCAATTTCTCACTTCTGTCTGTCTTTCTTTCCGCTGTGCTCTGTGCCTTCACTTTGGCGTCTTCTTTTGTGCCAGGCATCAACTATTTAATTATATTTGATTCACAACAGCGTTTAAATTGTTATTTATTTAACTTAACCGCTTGCCCGAGGCACAACCGCCCCTCTAGATATCCCCCTTATCAGTTTGCCATATGCAGGCACATTTGTGATATCATGTAGCAGGCGGACTTTGGTAATCCCCTCCAGCTAATTGTTGATTGTTTATGGAACTGAACACAGTTGATGATCTGTCATTATTTTTCTACCCTACCCATTGAAAATGGGTAAATGGGGTATATTGTTTATTATTTCCTTTAGCTTTTAACTGAATTCTAAAAATGCATCCTTCAAAAAAAATATTCTAGTTAAAACCACAAAAAAAAAAATAGTGTTCTATGTATTACATTTAAAATTTGGGTTTCTTTTGAGGCCAATTGGAAAAAAAAATATAAGTTTTGCTGAACCCTTTCGAACCGACTCGAACTGTGCTCTGTGTATATATGTATATAATTTTTCCATTAAATCGCGCTTATAGTACTAAGTATGTATTTGTTTGTTCGTATCAGCTGAGTCTATATTGTATTTATATTTCAATACTCTACGACTAATCTAACTCTTCGTATTTGCATTCCGCAAACAAAGACGCAGAAACTGGCCCATTATTGTAGATGATATATATATATAAATATTTGTTTATTCAAGTATTTAGTTTCAACTGCGGACAAATCAAAATACGTTTGTTTCGCTGATAAGATTTCAATATTTACTGGAACACACATTTGCCTATACTTGCTATAATGCCAAAAAATGATCAATTAGGGTGTAAATAGATGCCACAAAATGGAATGAACTATATGAATATCAAATATAAAGTCATATAAAATAATAAAGGCATATATTGCTTCAGATTATGTGTTCAAAGTGAAAATAAAGCTCATTAGTTTTAGTACAAAATGCCAAAACGTTTTAAAAAAAATCCATTACTTAAGATGTAAAAGAAATTATCAAGCTAAATTTAAAACTACTTTCATGCTTTAGCCTGAGATATCAATATTAAATATATACATTTATATATATCCTATCTCAAGCCTGTCTGTCTGTTTCTAGGCCAAATTCTTTTCGTTTTGGAACTATTTTGAAGAAACGTGGAATGTATTCAATTGCCATTATAATAATTCATTTGTTATGGTATTTTCTGTGCTCAGCTCATTTTTATTGCACTTTTCTGTAAAAAAGTTGCACAGTGGGAGGAAAAGCTTAAAGAAAAATTAGAAAAGGAATTTTCTTTCAAGTTTAATTAGAGGCTCGTCTTACACACAGTACACACACAGTACTCTCGCATGCCCATGGCCAATAAATCTTATTAGCCGGTGCATTTTCCCGGAATTTTCCAGCGACGCCTGAAAATTGCATGGCCTGTCCGACTGTCTGACGGGCGCATTTGTTTCGCTGGGCTTGTCTGGTTATTTGCTGTTTGCTGCCGCTTAATTGCATTTAAAGGTCATCTCTGGGCCGTGTTGCAGTGGCATTGAACTAGAACGCTGGGCACGGACAGCCGGATCGGGGCGTGACTGCAACCAGCTCAAATGTATCTGTGAGTAGGTGAATGTGTGTGTATGTATGGGGGGAGAGTGTGTACAGAGTCTAGGGAGAGGGCAATAAGTACCCAGGCCTTGCCTAGAAGAACAAACACAATGTGTTTATAATATATTTAAGCTGCGTTGAGTCATTAACAAGCTGGCAAAAGGCAACAATATTTAAAGAGAAATTTGTTGTTGACAAATTGTGCGAAATGTAACTTTATTGATAAAAACTGTGCAACGACAACAAACAGAAGACATTCAGCCTGTTGTACTGTGCTCAGATGGAGCAGGCGAGTATATTCGTCCGTCCGCAGTCACCAACCCAAGAATCAAGAAGACCCTTCGATCGATTTAATCGCTAATCAAACTGTGCACAAAGTATGGCTCAGTTGCTTTTGTTCTCTACTGTGCAGTTTTATCGCTGGAAAGCGGAAATAGAGGGTATCTATCAGTTGGATTTGTCCTTGGAAAATCGTGTGCTGCCTTTTTTCTGGTAAATGGTCGTCGAAAAGAAGCGCAAAGGTCCAAGGTGTAACCCTTTTTCTTCATTGGGCAATAATCGCTTTAACTAAATTTATGTCATTTGCTGCCACCTTTGCACCCTCCCGCGGACCCCCTGCCCCTCATCGTTGGTCAACACAACGTTTTCTGGTTATTTGGTTATCAGTTGTCGACTGTGCAAATATTTATATTATTCATCATTATGACTCAGACTGCGCTCACAGCTGAGGCAGGCAGCCCCAGCAGAAAGCCAAGCGCGCGGATACAATAAAATGAAATATAAAGCCCGAACGAAATAATTTTATTCATTGCAACACGATAATAATATTAAAGTTGACAATTCTGTATGAAATGGCCGGACGGATAGAAAGCGCTGTAAGCTTTGTTTTCCATTTTGTTCAAAGCATATATATGGACATATATATATATATATATATATGTGTGTGCACATTTTAATTGAATTATATGTTTGTATATTTCCATAGCTATTAGCAGATATCGTGTTAAAGCTTTGGCATACAAAATATACAGGGTATACGTATGTATGTAGATAACCCTTTTAAGCTAGACAGCTTTGTTTTTTGCTTACAATTTATAATACAACATGCTAAAAATATTCCAACTCGTATTTTAGACCCTTTTTGAATATCGTTGTTAAGAGTATCCGTCACATGTAAAATGAAAATAATACGATAGGAAATAATCCTGAATAGTGCAACTTAAGTGAGAATTATCACAGGTATTCTTAGTAAAGTCTCTTTCAAAATTCACTAAACAATATTTAGTTTTACGAAGACTTCTTTGACTCCCTGAATAGCATGATGAAAAGAAGCTTTTAAGTAATTTAATTATAATTTACATGCTCGTGAAACGGTTTAATTCTGCATTCAAGTAGATCCCAGGAAGAAGAGCGTGAAGGTTTAATATTCATTCCGGCAGAATGTGGAGAAGTGCATGAAGCGTGTAGGCCTAAAAGTAAATCTGATAAACTGATGAGCTCTAATGCCATTTACACAAAGATAAGAGTTGTTAAGACACTGTTAAACTATAAACAAATTGTAAACACGTCGCTTTTTCCCTTCTTACAGCTTACTCGCAGATTTTTAGCCTCAAGTCGGCAGAATTTCCCGAGGTGAAAGATCCACTTCAATCGAGCACTTCAACATCCACAACCCCTACTTTGAGCAGCAGCACGACTTCTAAGCCTAAGCCCACTAGCTCGAGCACTTCAACAACAACCACCACAACAACAACCACAACCACTGTGGCACCAACAACCAGCACCGAGGCACCGGTAACCACCACGCCTGCTCCAGTGCCGACCACCACGCATAAGCCACAACCGTATCCAGCACCAACTGTGGGCTCATGGAACTGCTCTTGCATTATGCTCAACATGGCAGCTCAGCTGAACTTCACCTATGAGACCAAGAGTGAGTCCAAGTCCTAATTCTGTCAAATAATCGAATATAAACTTTTTTTTGTATCTCCAACCCATCGCAGGCGGCAGCATGACCAGTGGGTTGTACAATGTGCCCAGCAACGCTTCTGTGGATCATTGTTATTGCAACAGTCAGACTACGCAGTCCATGCAGCTAAACTGGGGTTCCAGCATCTCACCAGATTCCATGGTCCTTCGGCTAGAGGACAAGAACAAATCCATTGCACTCACCTCAATTACAGTCAATATGATGGTGCCCACAGAGGACTTCCCCGATGCTAAGGGTGAGTGCTTATAATATATATATGGACCGTTTTCTACACCTTCTTGGCAAAGTTGTTGGCAGTTGTGGCAGAGCTGATAAGTTACCAATGCTTGTCAAAAAGCGGCCAAATTGTCCCAAAATTATGCTCCAAATTGGTATTTGAAAAATGGTACATGACATGTAAAACCTGCTAGTTCTAGATCTTCTAGAACGCATTTCTTAGTAACCATAATTGTGCATATCACATATTTAACAAACTTTTATATGTAGAAAGATGCATTTCTGATATAATGTTTGTGCCAAGCCAAGTCCGTTTGTCTGAACGCATCGATAACGGATGCTAGTTTTAAGATTTTAGTTCTTTTGTCTGATAACGCCTTTGTTTGATATGATGTCTCGCATACACATAACACGACGTCTTGGATATCACCAATGCCCTACAAATATGTAAAATGAGGCAAATCGAAGGCAGATTCTCTTAAGTTGAACATGAAAAGACGAAATTGAGTAAAACTGCATTTGAAAGTGTGTGATAAATTTACCAAGAGCGTGCGCTAAACGGTGCCAAAAGGTGTGCTCATATTGTTAACTATTATTAACGTAAAATCGCTATGTAGAGAATCAGACCGTTCAGTTGATACACAGCAGCCAGAACACGGACTTCAAGACGCCCGAGAAGATGTCCTACCACTGCACACGCGTCCAGATGTTCAACATGTCGGAGACAATCAGCAACAATAAGACCATTGGCATCATCAGCGTCAGCCATGTGCAGGTAGAGGCGTTCCGCAGTGCAAATGCCACTGGGTTCTCCACGGTGCACGACTGCGACAGCTCGGAGACCTCCGATGTGGTGCCCATTGCCGTTGGCATTGCCCTGGCCGCCTTGATTCTGGTCGTGCTCATTTCGTATCTATGTGCCCGTCGTCGCTCCACTTCGCGTGGCTACATGAGCTTCTAAGCTAAAATAGGGCAAGGATAGCTATGCAGCGAGAACGGAGAGAGAGAGAGGGAGAGAGACAGAGAGGGAGGGAGAGAGGAGAGAGCAAGGAAAGGAATATATATGAGTGTCCAGGCAGTTGGCTGTAGTATGCGGGGGTTATTTAGTGCGTTGTAATCTGAGAGAGTTGTAAGATTGATTTTGTAATTGGCAGGCACTGTACGAAAGAATGAAGGAAATTAGACATTTGTTGTGTAACATACATATATAATTTGTAAACGGTCCTTATAACTATTCGGTTTTGTTTTGTTTCTCGTCCAAATTGATTACGCGCATAGCTGAGAGCAAGAGTTAAATGAAAAATATCAAACAACTGAAAATCTGTCTGTATGTGTGAACGTGGCATTCTTATACTTATCTTACTTTACTATCTAAATATCAAATGGCATCTTTTTTTATCACATTTGCGACACAAACAATTTAATTCACAATACGCATATTAAAAAAAGAAAATACATTTTATGAGCGTGTCAAAGGTGAAATAAAAGCCAGCGAACAGAAATAAAAACGACACTGAGGCAGGTAACGGTTATTACGTGAATGACAACAACAGCAACAAACGAAAGGATAGTAGCATTTTAATTAAATATATATATTGATTTTAAATTGTAAACAGTTAATTAGTAAACAGCTACAAATTATGTATTATTTGCCACCTTTTGCGTAATAAACGATAAACCAAAATAGTTTCCAATTGGACGCCCATTAAACGAGCAGTGTATCAGGTTAACTATATAGTGTTTCCAATTGGAGCGCGTGAAAGCAGTGCGTGTGATACACTGCTTACGACGGGCAGGTGAACTGCTTGCACGTTAGCGAGAAAATTTAAATGTTTTTCCTTAGGAGCAACCCTCCCCAGTTCATAAATTCAGTCGTCGTTCGCTAATTATAAAGTTAACGAATAATTATTGAAATCTATATTATTTATGAAACATTAATGTTTGGAAAATTAATAATAATTACAATCATTTCCAAAAGTTGTAAGTGCCGAGCGACTGTTGAATTTAAGAGATCTTGCCATTATTTATAAGATAATTTGTATTAAATGTTATTAAATGGGCAATAAGCTGTCGGCGTTCATTTCTGCATCATCATCGGAGTCGTTGCTCTGCTGCGCACGATGCATACCGGTGCGAGGACGTTCGGCCGGTGGACCCAAAGGATCCACATACTGTTTGACTAGGAAAACGGATGAAATAAGAATCAATTTTAGGCTTTGGCCGCAGCTTACCCGAGTAGGAGTTGCCGCTTTGCAGGAACTGATCGCCATTGTAGCCCATCCGTGAGTTGGAAACGAGTGTTGCCGAGATATCGCCGTTCTCCTGTAGACGCTCCTCGTTCGATGGACGCACTGCTGCGGATGAGGAGGAATATATAATGAGCTTCAGCCCTCATAGTTGCGGATTACTCACTTCTCAAACGACTGCTGCCCCTGCCGGAGGTGGCCGAGGAAAGACGCTGCTGCTGATAGAGCTGTTCGTTCTGTCGTTCCTGCTGCTGTTTGTGCAGTCTGGCATACTCCTGGCCATACCGTTCGTGCAGCTCGCTCATGCCCAGCGATTTGGTCACCTGCATCAGGGCGCGCACACAGGTCAGGTTGTCCGGAAAGCGCGCATATATCTTCTCGAACATGCCCAGATATTGCTTCGGCGGTAGATAAGAGTTGCGAAAACAGCTGGCAATGCGCAGCATCAGATTCGGATCATTGGGATCCGCTAGCACCGCCCGCTCATAGTAATAGAGCGCTTTCTCCGTGGCCTGCAGCTTGATGTAGTAGGAGCCAATGGAGCTGGCAATGCTGATGTCGCTCATGTTGATGCGATAGGCCTCGTTGTAGTACTGATTGGCCTCCTGGTGATCCTGCCGCTGCTCGTACATGCTGCCCACCTTCTCGAACAGGCGGGAGTCAATGTCGGCGGCCGAGATGCCCAGCACCTGCAGATATGCCTGGAGTGCGCCAGGCGAGGCGCTGGACTTGAAGCCGCCCGCAGAGGCATTGCTCAGACGCCGCTCCTGCAGCTTGGCCAGCTGGTAGTAGACATGGCTGTGCTGCACCGAATGCGGCTCCATGAGCTGCGCCTTCAGCAGCTCAAACTGTTCCTCGGCCAGCTCGAAATCCTGCTGCTGCAGCGCCAGCAGACCCAAATTGTAGTTGGCCTCAAAGCTGCTGGGATCCAGCTGCAAGGCACGCTGCAGCCGCTCCCTAGCCGAGCTCAGATTCTGACTCCGCATGTCCACAATGCTGGCATTGACCAGCGCCAAGACGCTCGTCTGCAGTGCTCCGAGCTCCTGCAGCTGGTTGAGGCAGTGCGTGGCCATCTCCAGGTTGCCCAGCTGCAAGTTATCAACCAAGTCGAACAGTTAAGGATTACAGGAGGGGGATTGTTCCCGACTCACATTGATGTAGATGAAACTGAGATTCGTCAGCGCACTGGCCGTCATGGAGCTCTCGCTCTTGCGGTCGTACATTTGCAGCGTCTCGATTGCCTGGTTGACATCGTTTTGGCGCAGATAGACGAGCGCCTTGTTCAGCTCCAGCTCGTTGGCCAGCCAGGACAGATTCGATGTCCGTATCACCTCAATGCACCAGTTGTAGCCTGCATGTGGACCAAAGCAAAAGCTGGATAAGATTATGACTATCTGAAGGGGATACTAGGTGGTAGGTTTACAAATATCTCTATATCATTCAAAGCATTGATAATAATATTACAATATCGTTTTCTTAGATTCGTCTAGCTTCTCTTTAATACTGCTGCCTGCGAGAGTCCAAGCCCAATTTGTAGGTATATAAATAAGTTTAAGCTTTGCAAATTATAATTCCAATCGAAATCTAATCCTATCTTCATATTACAGGACTTTATGCTTAAGGTTTGACAAGGATTAAGATTAAGGGAATGGAAGACTGGAAACGGATTGCCTAATGTTCCAGAGGATATCCAACAAAGCAAGCTCAGGAATTGCAAAAGTAAGATCCATTTTAAACCTTTTTTTGTTTAATTCAGGGAATGTTCTCCAAAATCCTTTAGTCTTAGACTTTTCCAAAGTTTGTTTTAGATTATTTTGGTATTCGCATAGTCAGTTATTCCTGTACTCCCTGTACTCCCCATCGACAGGGTTTACCCAAACTCAGACCACAAACTTACCATCATTGTAGTTCTCCTCGATCAGCGGGGAGATCAGATCGACAATCATTGTAATGGAACGCTTCTCCGTGTTGCGCCTTTGCTTTGTATAAATGGCCAGCTCGTCCGTTTTGAGGGCCTGCAGGACGTAACGATTTTTGGCATTCGCAGAGCTCTTGTTGGGCTCGGTCACCTGCTCGTAGGAGCTGTTGCCCTCAGCATCAATAATGGCCACCTCGGCTGCCTGGTTGCTGGCAGCAGGCATCGGATCCGCGCCCATTTGTCCGGCCTGCTCCGCCTGCTGCTGCAAACGTATTATATTATTCTCGTTCTCCAAGTCGCGCTCGGTTTCGACGGGCTGCACATCGCACAGGCTGCGGAAGGTGCTCTTGATTTTGTCCACGTCGCCCATGGCATAGTAGCAGAGCAGCAGGTGGATGCCGCTGCGAATGTCCGCGCGTTCTGACATGATAAACTCAAAACTGGACGCAGCATCCGCATACTGGCCCATCCGCACAAATAATACTCCAATATTCTCGGTAATTTTCAAGCGCAGCTGCTTCAGTGTATTCGGCACCGAATCCAAAGCCATCCGATACATTTTGATGGCCTTCTTGTGCATTCCCATCTTGAAGTAGATGTTGCCCATGTTCAGCTTCAGTTGATTCACATGCGGAAACATTTTGTTCTTCGTCATGATGTTGTACGTGTTCAGGGCCTCGATGTGCATGTCATTGTGCTCGTATTGTTCGGCCAAATTGAAGAATACCTTAATGAAATTTATATTAGAGAGCAGAACTGGTAGAAAAAATCCCTCGCATTCTATATTTATATTTATATAGCATTCCGAAGCAAGCATTAGAACTTATAAGCCGCATTTGGGCTAATGAAAATCGCATAGAAGGGCTTTTTTTTTTTTTCAATGCGAAGAATTTTCTAGCATCAGGAACTATTTATGTTATACAAGACTTAAGTACTCATTCTTACAAAGTTCGTACCTCCGATTAGAAATTCTTAGACATATCTAAAAGCTGAACATAATTTGAAGTAGCATTTAGAAATTCTTTCTCCCTTTACCCTTTGCATAAATCTCAGTGCCTAGAGGATGGCTACTTTTTGTACTCTTACCGCATAGGTCAAGTCAAAGTTGTGGAAAACATTTTCGCCCTGTTTATCCTGTTCATGATGCAGTATGCGATCCAACGAGGATGCATCCTTAGCCTTGTTCAGAGCCTCGGCCAGTGCGGATTTCATTTCCGTATTGGACGAACCACTTGTGCGATTCGATAAACTGCGCGCTGCTAGCACAATTGAGGACTCCAAGAGTTTCACAATTTTCACCTCCATGTTCTTGTACTTGATCTGTGGACTATTTTGAAATAATTGTAAAGGATTTGGAAAGCAGTTAAGGTCGGGTCTACGCACTTAACCTCCTTGGCCGCGTCAACGGCGGCATTGGCCGAGGACAGCGTCTGCTGCTTGACCTTCTCCAGAAAGAATTGATCGAACCGTTGACCCGCCGAGCCGCTCGTGCTGGCCGCATAACCCACGGCCCGCACCGCAGTCGAGGGTCTGGCCAGCGCCGTCTTGTCGCCGCCCGTGCGACTGCTAACCAGATTGCCCCGCTGAAAAACCATACACAAAACTCCCTCAAATCCGCTCTCTTAATTAGTTCTGCACCTGTTTTGCACCTACCGAAAAGAGCTGCGAGGTGGGCGGCCTGCCGGCGGCTGTGGGAGGCGGCGGCGGAGCCGTTGCGATCTCCGCCGTGCTGGCAGCTCGTTTGTCTTCCGCTTGCGTAGCACTCATTATCTATTGTTTCTTTCCTATTATTATTAATTTTCGTGTGGCATTTACTTAACAAAATTCTACGATTATAACATTTGTTATGATTGGGCGTTGCCTAGGCAATTGGCCAGCCGGTTTGTTGTGGACATTGCCGTTGCTAAGGGAAAGGGTTGCATAGACGATAGCTTTTTACGATGTTTGCTAATTGGTCATTAAAATCTCAAAGATGAACCCATATATGCAATATCACTATCCCAAAGTTTCTTAAAATTGATCACTTCTTCGAATTCCAATCAATTCCTTGCAATTTTCATGCTCTTGCAGAGTTGAACGGAACAGGAACTTTGCTTTAAATTAACAATTTTGCATTCTTAATTTTGACTTTTGGCATTTTGTCGCAATACCTTCCTATTAAGCCAGCTTCGCATCCATTAACTATTCGCTGCTCAGCAGAATCTTCAGACTGTTTGAAACAGAAAGATTTTGCGGCCGCAGCAAATTGCCTACTGGGGGTCAAACAAAGTAACACAGAAATGCGAGAACGCACAGCCGACGGGATGAACGGCGCTCAGAAAATTGAGCAAGCAGACGATTGTGAGAGAAATTCGTACACATGCAAATAATTAATGGACCAATCAGCGATGAGCAACTCCAAGAATTCGTATGAGCGCACGCACACATATGCATAAGTAGATCGCGCTCTCGTGAGAGGACAGCGCCAAATAGAGAGATTATCTTGAGTATCGCGCTCACACAAATTTTGGCAGTTACTTATTGTTCTTTACAATAATTTCTTTTATATGAACTTATTGTGAGTGCGTAGCTTGCTCTGTTAATAGTGAGCCGTTGCATGTTAAATGTGCAGATCTGGAACTCCGAGATAACAGAGTTAATAAGATCTTTAACATTTTGGATAAAATTCAGTTTTAGAGTTCCAAACTAATTTTAATAAAAATAAGACTCTCACAAAATTAGAAGTATGTTTATAACACTCGGTTCTATAAACTTACACGAGTTCAAAAAGGTATCTCTTTATAACATACTATAACGTATTTTATTAACCTGAGACATGTTAATTTAAGCTAATGCCAGCTTATGTCTAATTATATTTTACTTCTTATTATATTTACTTTATTTGTCTTTATCTTTATCGTTTCAGATGGAAGAATTCCAAATACGTAAGGCTGCAATCTATTCAACAGATTTCCTCGGGTCCAAAAAGGCACATGGATCGGAATTCAGCTACTCGAGATACTACAAAATTCTACTATATTAAGTTAAAAAAAAAAAAATAATAAAATATGGATTATATGGATTTTTTATTTATCAGCCGAATATTCTGCGTCTGCAAAGAATAACCTGATGGTTACCAGATGACAAATATATTCTTGATTTTATCATATCAGAAATATAGTCCTGGTGAACGTAAATAGTCGAATAGTAGCAAAATTCGCAATAATATGGTCGGACAATATGCATGATTTTTCTTTCAGCCGCCCCCAATAGCTTCGTTCCCTGGTGGATCGTAACAGCAGCTGCTAACAGAGGACTGTTACAACAGTCTGTTATTCTTGCCCCGCGCGGGTATGCAATGATTTTTTTTAAAACGATTTTCGTCTACCTGCTGGGCATTTCTGTTCGCCTGGTACTTCAGTGGCATTTTAGTAAAAATTTTGCGACCCAACCGCCGATGACGGCGCCCCTTTCGGGTATGCAATGAAATTTTTTATTCAGAGATTTTTGTCAGCCAGCTACCTACTGGGCATTTCTGTTCGCCTGGTGTTTCAGTTAATTTGAAGTACAACATAGCGACCTGACAAAAAAAAAGCTTGGAATTAAAAACGCAGCAGTTTTGTTTTATAAATTTTAAATAATTGATTTATTATTGTTAACATTTATAAATTTGTTGTTTCTTTAATATATTTATATTATTTATTTCTCTTAAAATTAAACATTATAATTTATTTCTTAATTTTGTTTTTATTTGGGGTAAATCGAGTCTAATCCTGGAAAAGATTGCCAGAATGTCCTTTAAATCAATCAGAGTCCTTGAATTCGTTTATCTGAAAAGATAAAATCACATTAAAAAAAAAAAGTAAAAAAATTAATTCAAGATAAAAGGACATAGCCCGGCCATATTCTTGCAGATTTTCAAAGGACATGCTGCGTTATGGTCGTGAGGACCAACTGCATCGATCTGCATCAAAATATTATGGGGTCATCTAAGAATCATAGACTTGGTAAAATTTCAGTCGCGGGGCGAACGAAAATGGCCTGAAAACACACAATTGCAATAAAATCTAAATATCTCTGAAACTACAAGGACGATCTGGATGTCCTTTGGCCAGTTGGTAGACCTGGTCAATACAATTTATTTGACATAGGACTCGTCAGGATACGTAAGGATATAGCCGAGTTATAAGCTATTTTCGGTTTACAAATTCGTCCTTAAAACATTTTTGTTTGAAGGACTTTCGTCCTTCGGGTTGTATATTCGTAAATGGGGGGATAAGGACTATCTACTATCCAAAGGACAGCCCGATAGTCCTTCAAATGGCGAAGTTAGTACCGAATTTTTCGATTTTGGCCGATTTTCTGACTAACCCCCTAGGATAAAATGAGGTGAAATTTTTTGTCGAATCCTGACAATCCTTGGATGCCAATCGATAGTCCTGCTCCCCACGAGTTCAATAAGGTATATAGTTACGTTATCCTTAAGGATATAGCCGAGTTATGACTATAAAAAGGATGTCCTTTAAGGAAAAATAGCCATATATTGGAAAATACAAGGACGATTTCGATATCCTTTGGCCTCTTGGTAGGTCTGGTCTATATGAGTTGTTTGACACAGGACTCGTCAGGATATGCAAGGATATGTCTGAATTATAGGCTATCTTTTGTATACACAAGTGTATCATTTTTCTCAGCTCTTTGAAGGACTTTCGTCCTTTTTGTTGTTAATTTTAAGCAGACACAATAGGGACTATTTGTGGGCAAAAGGGTATTAGGATTGTCCTTTAAATGGCGGTGTTATAGACGAGTTTGTGGTTAATGTCCTTTTTGGAAAAATAGCGATAACTTGGAAATGTCCTTGTGTATTTTCTAAAGAATTTTTTCTTTAGGCTCTTAAGGACCAACAGCACCGATCTGCATTTAAGAATTAGACAAATTTTAATCTTGAGCTTCACGAACTCGATTGCAACGTCCTTTGTATAGATTCTTTCGAACTGCTAACAGTGTCAGCTTGTGAAGCGTCTTAAGGAGCTGCCTTAAGTGGACCAAGTTATGGAATTAAGGACATGGACTAGCTATGGCTACTTTTCTTAAAATGTCGTTTACCAAATTTACAATATCCTTACTAATTTGCCACAAAAGGGCTTCTCTATTAGATCAATGTAAGAAAAAGACCCCGATTGGGGTTTGGCTAATATAAAATATGACGTTACATTACTTAAATTCAATTGGATGAACACAACAAATAAAAGGAAAATAGTGAGCCTCAGGTAAGACATACTCAGATACGAATACCCGCACTCGGGAGGGCATGGCAGCAGCAGTAGCAGAATCGTCAGCACAGGATATCCAACGAAGCTCACAGCTCGTGGCCTCATCTACGCCGCGAGCTAAGTCCTTGGTGATGGCATTATGATCACGCTCAGATAAAGATAGAAGATACCAAAATATTGCCGAGTAGCGTAAGCTGCTAGAACTCTAAAGCATACGGCACGCCAGACAAACCCAAAAGGCCAACGTTGTTATCCCAAAATCGCCTGCAATTATAAGATAATTTAATATACTCTAAAAGACCTTTGACGCACGCTTTTACCTTGTATCTCAGTGAGCTGCTTAGTGTGGCGCTAATGCAATCAAAGCCAAAGATTCCATGCTGTTCGCAGGTTTAAAGAAATAATTATTGAGTACCCAAATAGCTCCAGTTATGCGCAGACGTTCGCTATGTCCGCGCCGTAGACCTAGACTGGAAGATTAGAGAAGTGTGAATTATATTTGGAACATCTGATAAACATTTTTGAGCATCTTTTACAAGAAAACAACAAAAATCGCTATCCAAGCACATGATTACAAAGAGAGCTACATATATTTTGTAAAGTCAATCAATATTTACCCGAAAAATTTCTTCAAACGACTATAACTTGCAATATAAAAACACATCATATTGAGTTTCTGAAGCTGAACTAATGAAGAATGCAAAGCAACTGTGCAAAGCAGGCAAAAAAAACGGCGCACAGAAAATTGAGCAAGCAAACGAACACAAGAGGAATTCGTTTTTACAGCATAAGCCCATGCACTCATGCATAAATAGATAACGCACAAGCAAACACACGCACAAACAAGTGTAGACAGACAGAATCGCAAAATATGTATGTATGTATGTACAAATACGTAACTAACACAGAATGAGCGGACGCAAGGCAGGCGAAAAACACGGCGCACAGAAAATAGAGCAGGCGAACTATTCGATGCGGAATTTACTTTCTTGTGTATACACTTGCGTGTGTGTGTGAATGCTTTCGCGTTATTTATGTGTGATCGCACATGTTGCCTAGTGCCTATTGGTCCAGGCAAGAATTCCTCTTATTATTATCGCATACCTGCTCCCATTTCTGAGCGCCGTTTATTTCGTCAGCCCTGCGCTCTTGCAAACTTAATGCTCTGTTACTTTTTCCCCAGTATATTGAAGTGGGAGATGCTTCATTTGGCTCAAAACTTTTATACATAATATTTACCCATTTTAAGTGGGTTCCGAGCTAAATGTTAGTTCTGCTTTATAAGATATAATACTAGGAAGGTTCAGTTAGGGTTAAGGTAATACCTGAAAGCAGGGTATATCCGGGTCGGTCACCGTTTTTTTTTTAAAGCCTGTAACCTGATTAATATTGTAGTTGACGCAGTAGCCTTTGAAAACTATACTCTTCACCAGCTATGTAACAGACTCGTTGTTGTTAACATGAATCCCAATTGCCAGACGGACATCAACAGTGCCGAGTGCCAGAGATGGATGAGGGAGGTGTGCGCCCATTGCAGGGAGCTGTTCGCCCGGGAGGCCACCGATAAGTGGGCCGCCTGGTGGCACGATGCGACGCCAGCATTGTTCAAGGATGTGCCGGACATGACCGTCTACGACTGCAACAAGCTGAAGCATCTGCTGGAGCTGGAGGTGGCTGCCATAAGGCCACCAGAGGTACCCATGCAATTTCCAGAGTTCACATGGTGGCAAAAGGCATTGCTGATCTCGGTTTACGTTGGCATTCTTGTGCTGATGCTGCTAATGTGTCGCTACTGGAGAAGGGGGCGACGTGTCAGGGTGCAGAGCATAGACGAGGAGAAGGCAGGCCCGCAGCGGCCGGTAAATAAAACGCCTCCAGAATCTGAACAACAGACACAAGCGCCTCCGGCGCCGCCGCCGGCGCCGCATCCGCAGCACGAAGATGTACAAAAGGCCAACAAATCGAGGCATTCCTTTAAGGCCTGGATGCGCCACAGATGCCGTCCAATCTTCGTCCACAACGAGGCTTCACTGCGCCGTCAGCAGGCCAAGTACAAGGCGAACGAGCTGATCAGGGAGGCCCACAACCAGCAGAACATTGAGAAATGGACGAGAGCACGCGAGAAAATCGAAAAGAGGCGACAGGAAAGAAAGGATAGCTTGGACAATGATAGTAAGCGGAAGGACACAGAGCATTTGGATGAGAATCAACACAAAGTAAGAACTAATAATTCTTAAAAAAAAAAAAACTTGATTCAATATTTTTCATTATAAGTAGCATTTTATTGCAATTTATTTGTGACTTAGTAACTCTGAGATGGACAAGGTGAACCAGAGTAGAAATAATGACCAGCCAAAGATTTACCCAGATTAGGACATGACGAAGCGCGATGTATATTTCAGAACTGGGAAACACTGGGACATTACTTTGAATCTAAATCTGCCTTCAGTATGTTGGAAGACTATCAACTTGAAACCCTTAATTCATGCTGAATAAAAATAATCAAATTGAATTTTGTTAGCAATTTCATTAATAGATGAAACAAATGGGTTTCCATTTATATTTTTTACACGATTAAAGAAAAAATCGCAATTATCATCGCAAACATTAATCATTGCATTCATTTGGACGTGACTGTACTTTGCTGAACTTATTTTGCATGGAGCTGGCATCTCTGAAGTGCAAAACAGCTGAATGTCCGATTTAAGTGTTGTACAACTTTGCGAGGATTTAAATGTACTTCCTGTCTAGTGTGCGCAACATCAACAATCAGTTGGCAACGTCTTTCAAATTATTATTTAAATTATGTTTTTAGAGCGTTTGAGTAAAGTGATTCTTCAATTGTAAAAATTGTACTCCATTTACAATTGGAACGTGAGAATATGTTAGAAAATGCAAGTTTTTTGTGGGCAAACAAAAAGTTTACAGGCGAAAATTCAGGTTATGTGTTATGTGGGGACAGTTATTTACAAAATTTACAAAAAACTGTTTAAAAAAAACAAATACCTTTATCCAATTAAACACGTTTTTGGGTTGCCATTGCGTTCTTGCTCTTCGTGCTGCTCTTTTAACACCCATTGCTAAGATTCGAGAAAACGCACCACGTGGTCCTTGCAAGGTTTCAGTCCCTTTGAATCTAGTACAGCTGTAAAAGTTCAACTGACTTTTCGTATTCCGGAATATCCGTGCAAATTGTTTTTCGTATTACTTATTTGAAATTCGTTGAACGGGAAACAATTTGTGCAGATTGCCTGGAGAAGCAACCTAAAATAAAATGGTTTACATGTAGCTAATCATTAATAATTATCTAATAATGACAGCATTAAATGCAAGTCCTAAATTGATATCTTACCTATCCAAGTTGATTTCACAGCACTGGGACTCCAGGTACTTGACTCTCAGATCGTATCACAGGCTCTGTGCTGAAGACAAACCTGGAAAGAAACAAATATAATTAATTATTTGATCTTGAGATTGTACAAAAATACATACTATATATATTTCGATGTCTGATCAGTTGTGTAGTGTGGCGTTTTACTGACTTGCTACGATACAAACTGGCCAGAGGATCGAGATAGAACAGAACAATATGTATTTCTGAAACTAAGCTTATGATTTTGAAACCAACAACAAGTGATAGTAGGAATAAAGCTTAACTAATTATAGACAGCATCCAGCATTAATTATCTTCACACCTATTAAAGCTTGGTGCAGTCTGTAATTAGTTAGGGGCTTATCGATTCCATTCCGATTATATCTAGCAAAACAAAATTAAAATTTGCCAAGTATGCAGCACGTTGATGTTGTTCTCGTTGTCACAACGCATTGCATACATGACATATTTTGTTAATGTGAACATAAAGTAATAATAATAGCACTTAACAATTAAAACTACTCTTTAAATCAGCTTAGTTCCTGTCGATTTTAATCACAATTAATATTGCTCACTTAGAATTAGTTTGTTATGCAAAACATGTTTCAGCACTCCAGGACATTGCTAGGCGCGTTAAATGATATATAAGTATATCTAAAAAGTATTTTTTTGGTTTACAAAAAGTACAAATTTAGCTGCTTAGGCTTATAATACACATATCTAGCCTGGTTTTTGGTTTCTATAATTTAATAACAGAATTGTTCCATTTGTCTTTTTTTGTTTGTTTTGTTTTTTTAAGATTTAATACTAAACTTTCAAAAATGTGCGCACTAAAAACGTTGCTTAGCTTCTTTAAAAATAGTTCACTGTCTTTTGGTTTTGTTAATATAATTACATATACACATATATTAATGATTTGTTTGTAAGGCAAAATTGTAAGTCACTTTTTTGATTGCATACAGCGCCTAATTTATAATTTATATATCTTAATTTATATGAATAAATTTATACTTATGGGCTTTAAAGCTGTTGAAATGTATTAAAAATGATGTATTTTTTTTTTGTTAGGATTTGGTATCAAAATCGTTGCCATATTTAAGCTATTTGTGTCTTTGTAAAGTTTTTAAAAAAGTTTCGTAAACAGTTTAAACAAGCTTGTGCCTGTGCTTATGTAGATAAGGCTCACTCGTAGTATATAATTGTAATATTTAATGTGTACAGAGATCAATGCGTGTGCAAGTCTATAAACAAATACATAAACAAACATTCGCAAACAAATTTTACTTAACTGAATTATTGGTAACAAACTTTTTAAACTAATAACTAGGTAATTTTCTTTCTTTCTATTTCAGTGGTCAGACACTTCAATATAAATTATAAAAGCTTATAATATTTTTCGATGTGGAAAATACAAATAATTGTTGTTGCGAGTGCCTTTTGTTGCTCTCTTTGGTTATATTCGTTCATTCTAACAATTGGCAAGCTTTGCTAACGTTGCTTGGTCCAGGTTCTATATACAGTCGCAGGACAGCATAGCTATGTGAGTTTCTTAGCCCATTTCAAATCATCGTCACGCGGCTTCAGGCCCGTAAAGCGTTCAATAATAAACTCGAAGGTTGACCAAAATCTACAATAAAAACATACATTATTTACTATATGAATTGGACAACTATTTTCAGCTACTCGAACCTAAGCTGCTCCAGTGGCCAATTTAGCCAGCCGGTGGTAATGCAAAAGTACGTCTCATGCGGAGCCACATGATGAATGCGATGATGTTTGCGCGGTAGAATAATGTGACAGCTCTGCAGCAACAGCACCCACCTTGGCAGGCCCCAGTACGTGTGCGACCATTTGTGTATCTAAACAAAGAAAAATAGATTATTATCAATATTAGTTTCGGCTGAAACCTATGCAAATTGTGCTGCTTATTGTTAAATATTTTATTTAAGTTAACTAACAAGAAAACTAGCTTGGGGTTTCTTTTAATGATCACAATTCTGTTAACCTTACAAGTACCAGTGTTATTTACATACGTTAATGTAAAATAAATGTTAATTACTGACAGCTGTTAAGCTTAACATGCAAATAGCTAAATTGCAGCTGTTTAACAGAGTCGAAAATAATTTTACATTGCTTAACATGTAATAGCTAAGTTACAGCTGTTTAACAGAGCCGAAAATAATTTTACATTTCTTAGATAACAGCTTCTGAATTGGAAAATGTTCGAATTAAACAAATAATCGTACCTTCCTGCCGGCAGCAGTAGCTGATACCCACCTGATTTGTCATAGCCACAAAGATGGAGCATAGGAATACATAGGCTATCCAGCCGAAATTCTGCTGTATTTCGCACGGTGACTTCACATAAAAATAGTGCGCCAAGTAACCAAGTATGGGTATGCCCACCATGAAGTTATCGCCATTCGTCTCAATGAAATCGTGACGTGTTATCGACGTCGGATCCAAATGATGCTCACGAAAAGGACGCAAAAAGTTCTAGAAATCGATTTCAAATATAACAGTCTGGTTAAGGCCCGGGTGCATTCTAATTCTTACCTTCCCAATTATGGGTAAATCCACCGAGCCCCAGGTATCCGCTGCCCAATGCACCAGCCCGGAGGCAAAGTCTGCCGTTATGATGCCACACAAGGCGGAGATGAAGGTCACGCTGATTCGCTCCAAACGCAAGTGCTTCACAATTAGTGCTAAATTGATGATCATCAGGCCGATGCAGGTGTACACACATATGATTTCCTGTGCACGTTTACCTGCATTAAGCGTTATATTCGAAGTTTAGTTGTCTGCATTATACTATATACTGGATTATCTGTTGTGCTAAATATGACTGTGGCGACGAGCTGCCAATAAATTGATTGTATGCTTGATTAAAATTGATTGTAGCTAATCTATTTTTACGATGACAGAAAAAAGTGTTTCTCATAAAAATAATTTACTATTTACAGCTGTCTTCCTGTTGTCTCTTTGTTTCTAAATATTCCATTGTTTTGCTGCACAGTCAATTTAATACAACTGTTATATTCTGAACTGTTATACACCATATGCGTTATGTTAACTTGCAGTGTTATATAATTGTTATAAAACAATGTAAATGTAACTGACTGAATGTTTAGACAAAACTACTGCTGATAATTTGTTATAAAACTGTTATACTGTCTCACCTGGACTATAGAGGGATGCCAGCTCCTGTGCACCTTTGTTCTGTGGCCCCCAACGCGGAGAAGTCGCTGCTGTTGCTGAAATTGTTGTTGTTGTTCTCGTTGAACCCGTCAGTGCTGCCGCTTCATTTGCCGCCGCCTGCCCCTCCTCCTGATCCAGATCCAATGCTGTGGGCGCTGAATTGCCATTGGGATCATCTTCGTACATGGAATTGGCGAGAATTTCCTTATCGCTTTTGGACGTCATCGTCTAGAAAAAGAAGGATATAGAGAAACGAATTAGAGCAATTTCGACATGGACATTTACTTCCTAGCGACTGGCCCTGACTGACAGCGTGGCTTTCAAAATCGCGCCGCTTCCAAGGACCTGGGGAAACAGTCAGCTGCTCCGTGCATTATTTAACAGTTTGCTGGGAAAGCGCAACCTGTTAAATATAAATTTAAATGCTCTTAAATTCGCCGCTGCTGCAGCTCGTGAATTTATAAAAGTCCGACACAGGCGCAAACACAAAGGTGACCAGCAAAGTCAGAGACTCAGCGAACACCCAACCATTGACCTCTGCACATGTTGATGTCATTTACGTGGCCTGCATTGTCCGGGCACAGCGCACACCCACTCCTGATCCTGCTCCGACTACCTGTCACGCAATATTTTGGAACCTATTCTCGGTCCCGTGGGCGGGAACCGAGTGTGTTGTCAGCTGTTGGGAGGCGGCAGTTTAAAGGGGCCTTAATTAGGCAAATTGGTATTTAAATTGTTGCGAAGGCTAACTTTGAGGTAGGCATATTTAACGGGTTATATGCATAGCAACATGCTTGTCAGTCCATTTGCTTTCTTATTTATTTCTATGGCCAGTGGAATTTTTTCCCTTTTGGCCATATTTGAATGACAAATGGGCTTCAACACGAAATGCCTGCGTCGTGTATGTATGTATAAGACGATAAATAATTGGAAATTAGATAATTACTTATAACCATAGATTAAATATTCTTAATGGGAAAAGGCAGCTTATCAGTTTTGGTTCGCTTTGAGCTCGACTCAAATTGACTTCAATTGCCTAAGTTAGACAGAGTCAACTATATGTGTGCATATATGTGTGATACATCCGCCATATAAAAGCTGACTGCTACAGGTGTCTGCTGCCCGTGTGTACGTGGGTGTATGTGTGTGCGTGTGATTGCGCGCAAGTGTTAGTACATAAGAGCTTTCTGATTGGCTCGTAAGAAGCGATTCGCATCTGGGATCAACAGCTTAAGGTGCCACTTATGCAATACCCTAGAAGGTGCAAGTGTGTTTTTCTTAATTACAAGCATTTTTTGTACAAGTTGTTAAGTATTGAGAGCTAGTCAAAGTGCCATTGAGGGGTACTTAATAAACTACTTCAATTAAGAGCGCCTGTGAAGCAGGTTCTCCGCCAAAAAAGACAGCCTATCCATATGCAAGCGATTTATATGAAATATTACAAGTGATAAGAGAAAGCTCGTTATCTCGATAAAAAGGGCCTTGGCTAAATTCGCATTTATCTTGTGCAAAACTTAACATCCGTAAAATTTTAACAATAAGTAACCTTATCCCTCAACAAACAACTTTCTTTACAGCTTGTCTATTTTGGACAATATCTTTCCATCAAACTGAAGTTAAATATATTCATGCACCTAAATAGAAAAGTGTTCAAAAATTTATCTACTATTATAAGCACAAAGGAATATTTTAACATTAAGAAAAGTATGAATACGTTAATACATTTGAATAAAATAATGAGTTGGTTTATATAAGTAAATAGTACATTTAAATTCTTAAATCATAACTAGTTTTAAATATTTTTAACTTTTAAGTTACTTTAAATAGTAATTGTTTGATATAACAAAGAGCGTCAACCAATATTAATAATAAATGGCTCGATTATGCAAAGCTTAAATGTCTCATTATCAACTTTATCTTTCAGTCCTATTTATATAAAAGTTAAAGCAGCTGCTAGCATGCTATCTATATCAGTTCGAGCATAACTCACATTGTCATCGAATACCCCTCACATGCAGGTAATACAATCATAGAAAGGTTTGTTGTGTGGCCTAGAAACGTGCGTGATCCCCGTAGTACAGAGTCCATTAAATGTAGGATTTCTACACGAGGTGACTATTATTAATGCATTAGCTGAACTCTTCCACACTGGAGTTCAGTTAATACCACATGCATACAAACTACTTTAATATTATATATTGTTGTAATATTCTGACGAAATTCCAGCTTTAACAAGGCCCATTATGTCCATTATTGACAAAACAATTTCTATTCCAATGTGTGTGTCGAAAATCAAGAGTAAATAAACAGCGCTAATGATTGTGCTTATAGCAGGAAATGTCAAGAAAATTACACTTATGGAAATCGGGTCCGGTTTATTGAAAACGCATTAATTAAAACTGGCAACTGCTATTGATAAAGCACCCAGAAATACTAGGTAAAAGGCACTGGCAGGCAGGCGTGGGCATGGTTGTCCAACCAAGAGGTGAACACCGCCCCTACAAAGGTCATGAAAACGAAACCCATAATCGGATGTCTTGTAGCGCCCCACAAGAGGCAGGCAGGAAAAAACGTTGATTCAAATTTCCAAAATGAATGCGAGACTCTGCGGGGCGGTGCGCTGGAACGCAGGAGGCCTAAAAGGTGAGCCGAAAATAAAAATGAATATGAAATGTTAGCGACGGCGTCAGCTCCCATGCTCTCTAGGATATTCGTCGTTATCTATTGACAGGGTATATCAATTATCAAAGCCATAGATTAGCAAAGAACTGATTAACAGCATTATGAATTAATTTATGTCGCCATAAATAAAACTATTCACCTTTATGAACAAACACTCGAAGCTCAAACTAAATTCAGCTCCTAACTAAAAAGTTATCGATAACCTTCATCATGATCGAAATCGATTTAAAGATATGTAATTCGACAAACAAATCGCAACACTTAGCGAATAACGGCACGAAGGCAACATACTCATTCACAATAGTTCTATGAGAAATCACAGGGTGTTCGCTTAGCCGTTCAGCGGCCGACACATTCTATGGTTTGTTTGTTGTTGTAAGGCATAATAAAGGGGCCGCACAGCCAACAGGTACTAATTTAGAACAACGTTACGGGGATTTGCCGTGTGTTGTGGCAAGCGAAGGAAGTACAATTTATTACACGAAATGCGCGAAAAGTCACTCGAAAGTTTTGTATGTTTTGGGGGCAAGCACTTGGACTGGCGCCTCAGTCGCGCACCTCTCATTTTCAAAGTCAGCGCTTCGTCGTATTTATAGTTTTTATTGTTGTTAGCTTTTTGCAATTGATAAGAACTGTTGATGGCTTTGCTTTTGCATACTCTGCACTCACCTAACTATTTATAAAAATGAATACAACACTAGCAAAACACTCGCACACACATACATGCATGCACAAAGATACGCTCGCCGATTGAGCATTTGACTCACCTTTTGTGTGTGTGTGTGTGTGTGTGTGTGTTTGTGTTGCTGGCGTCGTCGGCAGGTGGCGGCAGCGGGCGGCTAGTAATGGCAAACACAGCGTTTTGCTGTTCTTATTGTCGTTTCAGTTGTTGTTGTTGTTGTTGTTGTTGTTGTTCCTGCTAGTGGCAGAGGCACCTGCAAAGAGCAGAGCAGAGCACAGCACAGTCATGTGTGGGTTTTACTTAAAGCAATTAAATTTAAATGAACCGTCTAGTAATATTGATTAATATTAGAGTCGAAAATACATTTTATGCATGCAGAGCAGCAACAAAACACGCACACACAAATATAGCACACACACACACACCAATGCGCAACGACGCACGCTATGAATTACAGCAAAGCAACATACGTCAGTGGCTGCTCCTTACTATGGGCAGAAAGTAAATAAAAGCTGGCTTTATGCACGTGATTTTATGTTGTCACAGGCGTGAAGACACACATCCACACCCACACGAAGCGACCCGGAAAACCGACAACAAGAATGACCGCAACTCGTCTGCAACTGCAGAGTCCACTTTGCACCAGTAAATACCGACAGCAACTAAACAGAATGCCAGCGGCAAGCAACATTTCATTCATGCCCTCTGTGTGCGCGCGCGTGTGTGTGTGTGTGTGAGATCGGTCAGCTTTTACCGTTATATTGTGATGAGTGGGCATATACTCACACTTAAATGCTGCACCTTTGCCGCCACAAATAATGGTGGTGAGAAAGTTTTTTATGTTTGCCAAAAAATATAAATATATATACACTTTACATTTTGACAGCAAATGCACATATATAAGTGTTAAATATATTAACCAAACTAAGCGCAGTGCTTGTTATCGATTTGCGCATCGATTGCGCGAGCTGTCATAGCAGCGAGCTTATTGGCAGGTCTAGTTCAGTGTGACCTGTCTTGAGTTGTAATAAACATAAACAGCTGGTTGTTACGTCGCCGCACGCATTTAGAGCTGCCAAAAAAATTTAGCTGCAATTAATTAATGAAAATGTTACCTTTGGCACGCGGCATTTACGGCAGCTTGGCGCAAATAACCCGCAACAGTCGTCTGGCACTACACACGGCCAGCGTGGTGCGTGGCAAAGCAGAAGCAGCTGCAGAAAATGAGGCGCCGGCAGAAAACAATGAAGAAAGTGCAGCAAATGCAGCGCCAGATCCCAAGGATCGCACAAACAAAATACCCGTAGAGACTTCCATACGTTACCTGAAAAGCGCCGCCTACAAAACAACCTACGGAGATGAATTTGTATGGACACAATATCGGTATGCAGCAAAAAATATTAATTTTGAATGCTTAACCAACTTTCCTTTCACTTATCAGTCGCAACCACAAGGGCATGTATGCGCCGCGCAAGACGCGCAAAACCTGCATACGCCAGGGCAAAATTAGCACCGGTAATCCGTGTCCAATATGCCGTGACGAGTATTTGGTGCTGGACTACCGCAACACGGAGCTCTTGCAGCAGTTCATTTCGCCGTTCAGCGGCCAAGTGTTGAGCTACTCCAAAACGGGCCTGTGCCAGAAGAGTCATCTGCGTCTAACGGTCGCCGTGGAGCAGGCACGCGACTGTGGTCTGATCACCTACGATGTGCCCTTCCGGGAGTACGACTACAGCGAATACTATGGAAAGCAGGAGGAGCAAAAGCAATAAAAATTAAACATTTAAAGTTAAACTGATTAAAATTTGTATGGTTAAAATGCTAAAAAGAAACTTTTATTGAGGTTATGTTGTCAGCTGTTCCAACAGCTGTTTTATACCCTGTACTCATTGCAAATAGCGTGTATTGGTTTAATGCAAACGTACATGACGCAGAAGAAACTCGAAATTTCGCAAACTATAAGGGCTTGAGACTTCATAATTGGTTTCTTTGTATATAAGAATATATTATTTGAATACATACCGTAAATACCAAAAGAGGAAGTTATTTATGATGAATTTGAGAGCCAACAAAAATGTAGCTGGCTACAGGGTATTTCATAGTCGAGCAGTGCAGACAAAACACACATATTAGTTGATTTTGTTATTTGTGCGCAGCAATGTCTCAGGATTGCACCTTTCTAGTGGTCGGCGGCGGCATAGCTGGCGTCTCTTGCGCGGAGGCCTTGGTGATTTGTTGCCCCAGTGCATCCGTATTGCTGCTGACCGAATCGAGCATTGTCAAAAGCGTGACTAACCTCGTGCCCGTAGCGCGATATCTACACAAGTTCGATGTGCGGGAGCAGAATGTTGAGGATTTGCGTGCTGGCATTGGCACCATAGTGGATCAGCTGGTGCACATCAACAGCAGCGAGCATTGGGTGCGCACCAAGGCGGGGCTGGTCATCAAATATCGTTATCTCTGCCTGTGCACAGGTGGTGCAGCCAAATTGTTTGGTACGGGCCAGGCTGAGCTGGAGGCACGCATCATTGGCATACGCGACACGGATTCGGTGCTGGAGCTGCAGCGACGGCTGGCCAGCGCCAAAGATGTGCTCATTCTGGGCAATGGCGGCATTGCCAGCGAGCTGGCGCACGAGCTCCACGACGTCAAGGTGCACTGGGTGATTAAGGATGATCACATATCCGCCACATTTGTGGATGCTGGCGCCGCCGAGTTCTTCCAGCTGGCCAAGCAGGAGACGTATCAGACAACGCTGGCGCCTGCAACTGCCATCAAACGAATGCGCTATAACGAAATGCTACCCACAGGCGAACAGCAGGCAGAAGGCAAACATAAGCGTGGCGCCGCCTTGGGTCCCGACTGGCATCGCAGCTACGACTTGACCGGCAGCAGCGCAGAGAGTGCTGGCCGAGAGCTGCCCAAAGTCTATTACAAGTCGCAGATAAAGCAGATAGAGCAGCTGCCGGATGGCGGCGCATTGTGCATCACCTTGAAGCACGACGATGGCAGTCTGGAGCGACTCAGCTGTGACTTTATTGTGTCCGCAACGGGCGTGCAGCCGCGTCACGATTACGATACGGAGCAGCAGCTCCAACTGGCCGAAGATGGTGGCATTACTGTGGATGAAATGATGCGTACGAATCTGGGCGACGTTTATGCGGCTGGTGATGTGTGCACCGCTGCCTGGGCAAAGGCGCCGCACTGGTTCCAGATGCGCTTGTGGACGCAAGCCCGACAAATGGGCGCCATGGCCGGACGCAGCATGGCAGCCGCACACGAAGGCGAGACCATTTATCAGGATTTTTGTTTTGAGCTCTTTGGGCATGTTACCCAGCTGTTTGGCTTTCCTGTGGTGCTGCTGGGACGCTTCAATGGCCAGGATTTGGGGCTTGATTATGAGCTGCTCGTGCGATGCACACGTAACAAGGAATACATTAAGTTTGTTTTACAGAATGGACGATTGCGCGGTGCTATACTTATTGGTGATACAGATCTGGCCGAGACGTGCGAGAATCTCATACTTAATGGCACAGATCTGACCCCTTATGGCGATGATATACTTAATCCAGATATTGACATTGAAGACTACTTTGATTAATGTACAACATGTTTACAAATAAAGTATTAGTTATGCTTAAAGTTAAGTTTAATTCTAGGTTGTGCTCCGCTTTTTCTTCTTGTGTCATTTGAGCTTTCCCTCGGTGCCTAGACAAAAATAATGTATTAACTACTTCCAACTCTTAGAGTAAATCATTTCGATACGTACCCACGTACTTAATCTCATCGAATGCCTTGCGCGCCTTCTTTAATTCCTCATTCATGGTCAGCAAATCCTTGACCCTGGCATACTTGCGCTGATCTTTGCGCACCAGAAATATGATGTCCTCCACTTGTACACGTCCGGTGCGTCCAATTTCCATGGCGCGGTGTGTGGTTTCTGCAATGTACTCAATGACAAGATCCTCCAGTAGATCAACTGTTTCCGTATAGGGATTTTTATCGTCACCAAAGCCAAACATCATACAGCGTAGCTCCTTGCTAAACAGACGCTTACGGCCCGCATTTGTAGAAACCATTTGCTCATCATCCGCATCTTCATCGAACTGAAAGGGGTTCATAAATTAATACTTGCACGCAAATATACACTTCAATACTTACATCGGCGCCTTCGAAATGTTCTTCGGGCGTATTATTTGCAGCCATTATTTGATTTGTTTATAAAACGCTAAATACAATAAATAGTTCACGACACAACTGCAAGTATCGATGCCGAAAGTATGCTGATGGAACACTGTCAGAAGCTGATTGCTGTGACACTGCCAAGACAATCTTTGTCAATATTATTATCGATAGCAGAAGCGAAAGCAGCTCTGTGCTAGCCGAGGCAGGCGCAGCTTCAACACAAGCGCATTCAAATTTAAACGCCTGTTGCCTCAAAAAACAAACACCTTAAAAAATGGACGTTTACACATACGAAAAGTCATTTCTTGAGCGTCTAAAGGAAGCGGAAGCTGTCCTGTCATGGGATAACGCACCCATGCCCGCCTCGCAAGTGCGTTCCGAGTGGAAGGCCTATGTCGAGTTGAAAATTGAGCCAGCGGGTAAGTGAATCCCACACGCATGCGCACAGTACTCACACACAGACACACACGCAGGCTGGCAGGCTATGTGGAAAATACCACGCGTCATCTGTGAGGATTTAAAGCTGCGCTATCCCACCATTGTATTCGGCTACGTGGAACAGGTTATATTCGATGAGCTCAAGGCGGTGTTTACGGTGACAGCGGTCCAGGATCAGGATGTACATTTACCGGAAAGCAATGAGGTGTCCCTAATCGAACTGTGGCCCACATTGCAGCAGGAGAACTCTGCACTGAATGTGGACACCACGGCAGAGTGCATTGATCGATTGCGTTTCTTCTACGCGCACGTCTGGATGCCCTGGGACAAGGACTACGATGACGATCGCGATTGGGTGCAGATGCATTTGCAGGCGCGCATACAGCTCGCCTGCGACTTACGCAAGAACCGCTTGCCACGCCCACTTGCGCTGCATATGCGCACACTATTAATGGAGGCGCGTTATATACAACAGCGCCTGGAGTATCTCGAGCTAGACATGAGTGATGCCGAGGACGAAAGCGATGATGAGGCCGTGGAGTTAAATGACAATGCCACAGACCCACCACGCAAACAGCCCAAAACAGGCGGCAGCCCAAAGGCAAACAACCTGAACAAGTCCATGTTGCCAGTTACGGATTTGATGTGCCTGCACCTGCGCCTAGCCATCATACGCAGCGAGTTCGAGATACTCGAGAACCCGGAAATGCGACGTGCCTACAGCGAGCTGCAGAGCAATGTATTAAAGCGACACCTGTTGCAGCGCAGTCCAGGGCGTCTGAATCAGTTGACAGAGCATGTTGAGCATACGAACATGTGCCACCTGGTCACAGTGCCGGGTGAGCTGCAGACACAGATTGCTCTGCTCACGCTGGCCGAGAAGCTTGTGAAGCCGCATACAAAAGTGCAGCTGGGCAACACCTTGCAAGTGAGTGTTCTATTAACTTGGTTATCATTTATAATACACAAGTTTTGCTTATTCCAGGACGTGCTGAGCATCTCACAGGCCAATGATGACATACTTATATCACCCGGGCAACACACCATCAAGTTTCTGGAACATCTCAATGACAACGGCAGCATCAAAGGTCTAATCGAAGCAGAGTCCGTGATAGCCCCTAAGCAAGACCTAACTAAGCTTCCGTTGATTTGCTCAAGTGATGAGGATAGCACCTTGCTGGTCGTCGATGGCGACTACACACTGTCGCAGCTGGTGTTGGACTGCCGACATGTGCGTCGCGGTATTCTCCTGCGCTATGGCACGCTGACGCTGCGCAGCTGCCGTTTGCTAGGCGATGGTCGCTCTAGCACACAGGAGGCCATTGTGTGCATGCCTCAAGCCAGACTTGAGCTTCAGGATTGTCTGCTAGAGAACTTTGCCATTGGCATTTCAATGCGTGCCGACACTAGCGCCCAGTTAAGTAATGTGTGCATTCAGAAATGTAATACGGGCTTGGAATTGCTGGATCAAACGACCAAGCTGAAAATGCTCGAAAACAATTGCAATTTTCATACCTGCAAACTGGGCATATTGGCGGATGGCATAGCTCTGCCCACTGGCACTGAAAAGACCTTGGCGCTGAAGCATTTCAGCGAGCTGCAATGGTGTATAATCCTCGAATATTATTCAAAACTTGTAGCTAATCCTTAATTTTATATTTCAGCTACAACGAGAGCAACTGGCTGGGCAACTGTTCGTTTAATAACTGTCTGCGTAACGTGCGCGTTTTCAATGAATCTGAGCAGCTGTTGGCCAAGCGCACTCATCAGAATCTACTATTGGAGGAGCTGGATGGGGAAAATAAAGAGAATATTAATTAGTTTTAGCTTGTCATGTAAATCGTACAACAAAAATGAAAATATGCAATTTTAACGAGCCCTTGTTTCGTTTAATATATAAATATGGTTAAAATAGGTATTAAATGTTCTGGGCGACATATTCGACACTACTTTTATTTCGTATTAATTTCACTTTTTCTTTTGTTTTGTATGTTTATACAAATTAGTCGTTATGCTCAAATTCAAGCACAAGCATCGATAATTTGTAGTCGAGCAACCCGTTTATCGATACCCTAAAACGAGTACTTTTGCGAATGCATAGAATACCGCTGTTTATAGCCCAACCGTAGCATTTGCTGTTTAATTATATTTAAAACGTCGCCATAAAAGCACAATATTCTTCTCCATCAGCCGAGATGTCCAAGGAGCACTGGATGCGCGATCTGCCGCCTGAGCTGCGCGATCTACCAATTGTCAACCTGGCCATACCAGGTACATGAGATCATCCAAAGCAAGCAACGACTCAATTTGACTAATTAATATTAAAGCTATTCCGCCGTAGGTTCACACAATTCAATGACCTATGGAATTAATAGCAGCTCAAAGCTAGCCCCGGATGCAGAAAGCGCAATACGTCGTTGGCATCGTTTTTTTCCCTGCTTTGTGCGCCGTTGGTCCAAAAACCAATCGTCGACCATTTTGGAGCAACTGCATCTCGGTGTGCGTTATTTTGATCTACGCATAGCACAAAATGATGACAAATTCTATTATTGTCATGGACTCTTTGCCATGGAAGTGTTTGAGCCGCTGCAGGAGCTGCGTCAATTCCTAGATACGCATCCTGGCGAGATTATAATACTGGACCTGCAGCATTTCTACAACATGACCGTCGCACAGCACCAGCAGCTGCACAAAGAGATTTTGCAGTTCTTCGATCAACGCCTGTATGCCACAACAGATGGCTATCTGCTCGAATGCTCCTTGACGCGCTGCGCCGAACTCCAGCGCCAAGTGGTGCTCATCTATAGACGCTGCCCGATTGGCCTGCCCCCACAGTTCTGGCCCAGCTATGCCTGGCCAACGCCTTGGCCGAATACGGCAAGCGTCAAGAAGCTCCAGTCCTTCCTAGCCGATTCGCTGCTCTCGCGGCAGCCCCAACAGGGCTATGTGTCCCAGTGTATCCTCACGCCAACGGGACGTTATATAGCGCTGCGTGTTTTCTTCACCCTAAAGCGAACCGCAAAGCGTGTGGATAAAAAGCTAAAGCCTTGGATACTGGAACAGCTACCAGGACCCTTTGCAAGCGGTCAGTCACCGCGTGTGAACGTCTTTCTGGCCGACTATGTTAATCTGAAAAATGGCCAGTTCTGCAACTGGGTTGTCGAATTGAATACCAAACTGGAGCCGGCGCAGGATAAGTCGGAGTCTCAGGATGATCCCTTATAATCCGCACGATCCGATGGTTATTGTTGGATATTATTATCGTACAAATATTGTTAAATAATTTTATATGCTGCTTATTATTTTTATGATGCTCTCTAAAATCGAATAAGGCTACAATTTGTATCTATTTAAATTATTATTAATTATGCACCCACTTTTTATGGTGCTATTTTCTGTTGGTTTGCGGATCATCTGCTTACAATGAATTCCAGCCTAATATTTGTTATTAAATGCCTGTCTTGCTTCAAATGTTTCTTTGTTTTGTTATGTTGAATCACTTCACAACTTGTTTTTTACAATGTTCGCAATAAATGAACTTTAATGTAATTAAGTGATTTGTTTGTTATCGCACGGGCGATTTTTAAGTGGCGATAAGAAAATGCAATTAGTTATAAAGAAAAAGATAAGTAACATGCAATTCTATTATCGAACGCCCAGAACTCCATAATATATATGTGAGTAATATGTTAGCCTAGTTACAAGTATGCAATATTTTACTCTACTGCATTTCAGGTTTATGGAATTCTAAAACTATGCAAACAAGACTTTCAATATTAATTTGAGGAGATTTCAAAAAATATTTACAATTCTTTATATCTGTTATATATATTTTATATAAACTAAATTGCAAGGCATTAGGAAAAAATATTTTTAAGCAAAAAAAAAAGCAAATAAAAAATATATTACAAAAAACACAGTTTTTAGACATGTTTGCATGATTTCTTATGTAAATATTATTCAAAGTATTTTGAATTGTGCCCTTTTTTTTTATATAATTAGTTAATTATAATTATATATAATTAGAAAGTCAAAACAAAAATTAGCTGAAAACATACATAAAATTCTTATTAAATTAAAAGTAAAATATAATCAAATAATTTTTCATAAAATGTAGCATGAATCTACATTTGCTTGACCTTCATATATTATTACATATACATACAATTCTTGAGAAAAATATGACCCAGAAACCGTGACCGTAAATAATACAGGCAAACATTTAATTTCCATGTAAGCATTTACATTTATATATATAAAAATATATATACGTATATATATATATATATATATATATATATATATATATATATATATTCAAACACACATATATATTTAAAAAACGAATAAAAACAAATACAGGACATTGCATTGAAGGTCATAAATGAATAGAATGGGTTTGGATTTAAGGTAAATGGTATATAAAACTGAAACAAATTCGTCAATCGATAAGGAAACGCACAGCCTTTTGCGCTTTAGTTGGCGAACTCACCTCAGCCGACTGGGCGAGCAAGCCGTGCATGCCCTGGAGCAGAGTGTCCAGTTGGGTTAGGGCAATCTGCAGATTGTCAGCCAGAGTGCCGGCATCCGATTGGTTCTCCCGCTCGCGCAGCGCCTGCTCGCAGTGGCGATACAAGCGCTGCGCGGAGCGCTGCATCAGCTGCAGCTCCTGCTGCGCCAGCTGGGATAAGTTGTGGCAGCTGCTCGCCGGATGCTGCTGCTGCTGCTCGTCCAGATCGTAGGTGAGCAGGCGCTTGGTATATTGCGCCAGTTTGCTGCTGGGCGAGCCGCTGGCTGGCGTCTTTGCCGGCGTGGAAGTCTGCTGGGGCGTATTGTTGGCGCTGAGCAGCCGCTTGAATGGCGGCTTGAGCAGCGCATCCTTCATGGCGCTCAGATTGAGGGCAATGCGACTGGAGTTGTGTGTGTCATTAAGCGTTTCATTAAGTGCCGCATCCAGTGGCTGCCAGTCCACCTCCACGCTCTGGAATATATTGCTGGCACTGCTCGGCAGCACAGCGTCGCGCTGCAGATCGAGCCAGACGCCCAGGCGGGCAGTGGGCCATTCGGCCTTCAGGGCGCGCTGCTTGTCCACAATCAGGATGACCGTGCGTAGCAGTCCGAACTCGTCGGGCGTTTGGGTCTGACGGAATTCCAGCTGCTTTAGGCCGAGCTGGCGACACCGCTGCGTCGCCTCCTTGACCATCAGCTGTGTCTTGTGCAGGCTCTCTTCGCTGGGATTTAGCATAATGCGCTGTATATCCTCGAGCAGTGTGGACTTTTGCGCCGGCGTCGTGGCACTGGGCGTCTGCTTCAGCTGCTGCTGGGCCAGCGCCTGGCGCTCCGTTTCGAGCATTTCGCTGTTGCACTTGTACTTGAAATGCTCCAGTTCGAGGCACTGCAGCCGCTCCTCGAAATCGCGCGCATGCTGCACACGCTCCTGCTCGATGCGCGTGAGTGCCGCGTGCTTCTCGGCCTCCAGTTCGCTGCGCAGCTGCTGCTCCTGCTTTTGCAGTATCTCCTGGTGCGCCAGCTGGAAGTCCACGTGCAGCTGTTCGGCTTTGCCGCGCTGACTGCAAAACGGATTCGAGATGCGAAAGTAATGCGAGCCGCCAATGACCAAACGATCGCCATGGAACAGAGGTCGCCGCTGCTGCAGCAGTTCACCATTCACATAGGTCTCGAAATCTTCGCTGCCCGGACTCACGTACAGCTTGCCGGAGCGCTCGTGCTCGATGGTGCAGTGCTGCAGCGCCACCAGCGGACCGTCCAGCACAATATCCGGCAGGGAGCTGGCCGGTGCTCCCGGCAGACGGCCGCGTCCAATGCGCACAGTGCCCGGCGGCAGCAGATAGAACAGGGTGCCGCTCAGCATGGGATCATCCGTCAGATTGACCAGGCAGGCCTGTTTCTGATCGGCGGTTAGCTCCAATGCGAGTCCTTTGCGCTTGAGCAAACGCAGCTCCGATTTGCGCTGATCCTCCGCCTCTTTAAGCTTCTCCATCCATGACTTTTGAGCGCGATTCAGCTCACGTTCGCGTTCCGCCAGCTGCTGACGCAGCGCCTCCACCTCGCTGTCATCCACGGAAGTCTCAATTATGATTTTTCGCGGCGCCGGCGGATTGTTGTTGTTCGCCGAGAGACGACGCTGCCGCTCGTATTCGTTCCGCAGCGATTTCAAGCGATCCACCTCTGCTCGCAGATCCCTGATGATCTTGTCATGCGGTGATTCATTCACCTTAACCCGGTTCACGATGGAGCGCGCCTTACACGCATAGCGCAGCGTGGCGAGCGTCTCATCCGCATGCAGGCTGGCTGGTGAAATGGTGGCCAGCATCACCGTCTTGGAATTGCCACCCAGGTTTTCCTGCAGAGAAACAGAAACGGAAACTCTGTTAATCATAGCTACTTGTTGGGTTTTCAGTAAAACAAATATAATTCCAACTAAATTATTTGTAATACAAATTTGTAAAAGAGACATATTAAACTTTTTAATTTGGGTAAAAAAAAACATACACACGTTACACGTTTATTTCTTCAAAAGGGAAATGTACGAAGGAATAACAAAAAGAAAATATATAAATATATTTATATATATTTTAATACAGAAAAGACCCTGTTTTATAATTAATTTTTATATTTATATTATAATTTGAATAAATTGCTTCGTTAGAAAAGTATTTTGGACTCTCTAGCATTTATAAGGATACAATTAAACTGTTTAAAAGCGCTTTCAATAGGCAAAATATAACATACAAACCGTTATTTTATCCGCACTGCTTGCTAAACGCAAAAGCTGTTCTTTGTGTTCATATTTAAAACTAACCGCCTAATGTATCGAACAATTAATTTGTTTGCTGCACTTATTTCGATAAATACAAGGTTGAGAAACAGTTGCATACAAAATGATTGGCAGGCCCTTGTTTACATTTAAACGCTTGGTAAAGAGCAATGGTAAAGAGCAATTAAGATAATTTACTGTGCGTGTACCTAAATCTAGGAAAACAACACGTGCATATGCCTAAAAGTATTTACAGCAGAAAATGAGTCTAAAGTATGTAAATATACTAGAGCATATTATGTATGTATATAGTATGTATGCATGTCTTTATTGTGTACATATTTACATATGAACATTTCCACATGCCTGGATAGTCTTAACAAAAGAATTATGACCTCCAAAGATAAGGACTTATCAGTGTTGGCAGGGGAGTCTTTTTTGACAAACTTTAAACAGACAAGGCAAAGGCAAAAGCAGCGACAGCGACAGTGGCGACCGTTAACCGTTATCGATGCTTGCAATCAAGAGCGAGATAGCTAGTCTGTTAGTTGTGCCAACAAAATAAATAAATATGTGTGCTTATATGTATGTATGTACGCATGCATGTATGCGTATGTAATAGACACTTGTTTGATTAACGCTCCGCTGTGCAGGTCAGCATCGCTAGAATAGAACGAGTTTGAGAAAGAGAAAGGGGGTAGAACGGACTAGTCACGAGAGTTTATGTTTGCATAAACTGCGCAGCAGCAGCAGCGACGTGGGCGTAGGCATGTGAATGAGCGAGCAAAGGAGAGCGCCAAAACGATTGTGTTAGTGGGGGTATGTGTACAGTGGGTTGAAGGCACCCAAAGGTAGTTCAAAAAGATGAAAAGGGTTGCAGTTTACATACTCATTGTAACATTTGACACGCACGTCGAAAATTTTAACGAATTTTAACAGAGGGGCAACGTCAATGTCATCATATACATACATACATATATAGACCCTTTCGCTGACCTTAAAGGGGGCCTGTCTAGACATGTTTGCTTTAATCAAGCGACTATTAGCTTTGTTTGACTCGATAGAAGCCATCAGAAACATTGACACTGGAAATATTATTAATGTGTCATGGCTATGTGGTTAGTAAGTCAGTTCGTTCCATATAAATATGCATTTTTCGGCTATATTTTTGTCGCAAAACCTGTTATTGAGCAATCTGCTGGATATATATAGCTTCTGGCATTTGGAAATGTATGCCCGCCCACTTCTAGAAGCATGTCACGACATCGCACACTGAAAGTCGTGTGGGAAAAATACTTAAACCACAAAAAGTCGCTAAACGGTGGTATGTACAGTCAAAAACAGCAAACAACTTGATTAATATACGTCAATATGACGTAGGTAGATTAATTAGCACAAAGCGTACGCAAATTATATCTGTATTTAATCTTTAGTTGAGACATAAACTTTAAACTCCATATTATTACACATGACCCAATCGATTTTTCTTTGATAAAAATGCGGCCTGGCCTGATGACCATAAATTTCGCTCGAACGCCTAAAATCAGAGCTAAAACGACGTCATCGACCTAATTCAATCATCCGTCTCATACAAAATTTTATGTCCTAATTGACAAAGCATGGGAACAAATTTCTCGCTTGGCAACAAAATTGCATGAGAAATATTAACCTTTTCTTATATAGCGTATAGTCGGCATACAGTCTAGACGACGATTAGCAAACCTATGGCAACAGTTGCCTCGAGTTATACGAAGAAAAGTACCTCCAAAATTTTAAGCTTAAGTCTTGTTATATGACATCGAATTTGTTTGAGGTGACAATTTGTATATCAGTCATTTGTTTTAGCAATACGACGTTAATAAGAAAAACTTCCTACGTCAGTACGATGGTAAAAAATATTTTCCATGCCACAAACAAATTAACACGAATTAAATGTTTTTGACTAAAATGCTGATGATTCATTTGGAAAATTAACTAATAATTTTAAAAATTTTCAATTTACGCGTAATTGTGTCATGTCTGTATGAATTGATGGTATTCGATACTTTTTAATAATACGATTTTACCCACTGTGCGTATTCACGCGCGTGTGTTGGAAAGAAATAGCAATAACCGATATACATAGCAGCAGGGGCAGCATGTGTCAAAGCTTTAAGTAAAGCACGAGACGTCAAAACAACAAGGAACAATGTTTGTCCATGCGGTTCGACCTTGAGATACTACGCATAAAGATTTAAATAATATTTACGGTACATAGGCAATCACCGATTTCAAAAGGAATAAGTATATACAATAGCGTATATTATTTATTATCGTTGAGAAAATTAAATAGGTGCGCGATAAGCTGTAAGGGGAAGTCCTTCTGCTGAAGGGTTACATAAATAGAATTCATCGATATGCCCACTTGCACACAAAGCACACACAACAGCTATAGAAGTAACGTAGGCAAACAAAGCGACGCAAAAGCAAAAACAAAGCTACGCATCGCGAAACGAGACACGAAGATGACGAAAACAACACACGAAGTGAGCGGACGACTCGATGGCTACAAAAATGCAGTAATATGGCGTTCGGCTTTCAGTTTCAGTTTTGAACTGACAACGTTAAGAGCATAGATAAAGAGTTCTCCGTGCTGTATCATAAATAAAGTGCATTTAAATTCAATGCATATATAAACTGGTTCCATACCTTGACTTGGTATGAAAAAGAAGTGAATAAAAAATATCAATTCGCGTTATTTGATAGAGAACGTAAAGCGCTTACGTGCAAGAGTTCATTGGACGTTACAAAAGAAACGTAAAAAAAAACAAAGGCAAAGTGAAACGACCTCGCACAACGTACGCGCGCAAAAAAACAACACTAAAACACAGAACTAAACAACACCTATAAAGCACAGCACACACATTTGCAGTGCAACCTACATAGACCACCTTTCTAAAATAAAAAACAAAACAAAAACTACAACTATGGACGTTTGGGGCGTATTTGTTGGCGACTCGACGCTTTCGTATGGCGGTTCGATGCGCAACGGCTATTACCGCGACTATGAGCAGTTCCCGTATGGCACGCTGGAGCACGCAAGCAGCGCCAGCTCGTATCCAGCCAAGGACTCCTACAGTCGAGTGCAAGGTAATTATCAAAAATTTAATATAAAATGCAAAATCAAAGCATTAACATAAAAGTAATAATAATGTTATGCTGCCAAAGGCGGCCGCCATTCGCGTCAACTCACAATGCAGCAAGCCTCAGACAAATGCAGCATGAATGTCATGACAGCCAGCTTTTGTCCAGCACTTTTTTATGAGCGCGGCATGTGCATGTGTGTGTCTGTAGGCGAATGTAGTGAAAAGCGTTAATTGCAAAATACGCGTTGTAAAAACATACATAAAATGCATTTGTGTATGTATATGTACATGACAGCTACATACAGACGCTCATTTGCTGCTGTTAATACCCGCATTGTGTGTTTTTGCAAGAATTTAAAAATAGCCGCAATGCTTATTGAAAATTCTCTTTCTGTGTATGTACATACATATGTACGGTGTGTGTGTGTGAAACACGCCTTAATTTGCGCATATGCGAAAGAATCTACGCGTGTGGGTGTGTGCACTGTTAATAATAAAGAATTTAGGCAATCACAGGGTGCCGCAAGACTCAAATTGATCACATTTCTTATCATGTGTCACATGCATTTATTTTGTTTGTTCACATTTATAATCTTTGTTTACTTTCCTGTCATTTGTGCGACGGCACAGTAAACACGTGAGAAATGAAAGCGGCGCTCGTTTACCATAAATAAATGAAAACAAATATATGTACTTAAAAAATACCAAAATGCTCTCGAATGCTTAAAGAGGCTTTTGATGAAAAATTGAGATAATAACAGTTCGAGGTGGTTCACCTTTAATAAAGGTTATTTAAGTGCAAAAGCCAATTGCAATGTTAATCATTAAGTATGGTTAAAAAACAGAACACTTTATTTTTAAAAACGTTGACTACAAAATTTGTGTGCATAAGCAGAAGTCCATTCAAAAGAGCTTTACTGTGACTACATTGCTGACTGTACCCCGCACTTATAAAACCAAGCAGGTGTTTGAGTCCAACACCAAAACAAGAAAACGGAATAAAAAACTGCGGCGCAATAAAAATATATTTGTCGGTAAAAGTTTTTGTGTGTGTGCTATTTATGCATTAATGCAGCGCAATTGTAAGTTCTATAGATTAGGGTAAATATAGTGCGTTAGTCAGATAAGTCAAGGTTGCTTATCAAACATTTAGCGAGCGCAATTGCTAAAATTGCGGCTATTTTTAGGCCGGCATCGCTTTAATCAATGAAAAAGACACATTTCAAGCGCTCAATTGCCTGTGACAACATTCAAGAAATCTGTAGCTTAATCAACAGCGACATGCCTAGTGAACACCCTGTGTCAACACATGTCACAGGGTCAATCAAAACAACACAGCAAAGCTTGCCGCTACGTGACGTCGATGCTGTGACGTCACATTTACAGTAGCGACAGCGGCAGCTGGAATAGGGCAAAGTATGCGAGAAGGCACGTAGGCCACATGTGTGAGACTGCTTGTTTCATATACGTGTGAGTGTGCCTATGTGCGTGTGTGTGTGTGTGTTTGTATGTCAACAGCAACCTCGCTATGCGTAAACAAATTAAGTAATAGTCGATGCTCATGGATTCTCTCAATTAACCTGTTGATTTGTTTTTTCCATAATTACAGAAAAATGCAAGCAATTGAAATCGGAGAAGCAGCTGCGCAAGGATTGTCCATTCTGCAAGGAGCACAAGAAGCGGCCATTGATTAATTATATGCGTAAACGTGAGTCGCGCAAGCACCACGAGAGCATTTGCGAGGATGAGGAGGAGCTGCACGAGCACGAGCTTGAGCACGAGCACGAGCACGAGGTGCAGCATCAGGTGCCAAAGCTGTCGACTGTTGTGCCAACGCAGCAGAGCTGCAAGGTGTAAACACACATCAGCAGTCAGTTGAGTAGAGGAGAGACAGACAGGTGGCAAAATTAAAGCCAAAAAAACAACAACAACAACAACAACAACAACAGCAGCAATTCACAATGCCATATAAAGTTAGATAAAGACAAAAAAAAAAAACAAAACAAACGAGAAAAACAACGTTGTAAAGATGCTTAACGCGCCTGCTGGGCAGACAGCGCAAGCGAGAGCGAGAGCGAGACAACACGAGACAACTACAATAATCTAATGCAACTGTACCTACAATAACAATTGCGTGCATTTCCGCCTCTGACGTAACACACTACCATTTACAAAGCAGCAAGAACGAAGAAATTGAAATGATTTTTTCTGTTGCTGTTAACTTGATACCAATTTATACAAGCCGTTTACTATTTCTTTACAAACCCCTTTTACAAATACCTTGTATGTTTTGTTTTGTTTTTTTATACACATGTATGAACAAATTGAACGTAGTTAATAATCCAATAGCAGCAGCCGCCCGCTTGGCTAATCCCAAATGACCTTAGGCATATATTTAAAACAAACATAAAACGGAACGAGGGAAGCAAAATCGCCAGAAATACCAGAAATATTTTTCTATTTTGCGTACGAGACTGAGTAAAATGTTTGCAGTAGAGTGCATTCAATATTGAATCAAATGTTTTTAATATAGAAACAAAAACAAAAACAATTGTTTTCAGTTTCTCCTCTTGATTGGACAGCCTGATACGTTATTTACAGGAAAATTATATTTAAAAGCATAAGCAAAGCTTCATTGGCGCCAAAACCAAAACAAAAAAACAAACACGAAAATAAAATATTTAGTATTTTTTTTCTACAAGTGTTTAGCTACATGTATATATAGTTTTGACCCAGATTTTATATCCTTGTCTATATTAGACACACCCTAATCTTAATTAAAATCCAAAAACGAAACCCCTAGCCAACAACAAAAAAAATGCACAGTTTGGGCCCAAAGTCTGCTCGACAGTGTTAAACAATTTATATAGATGGGCGTAAGAGTAAATTTATATAACTATTATAATCTAATTGTCAGCTTCAAGAATGTTAAACAAATTATAAATTTATGGTTACACGAGTTATAATTGTTAAAGAATTTAATACTTGTTACTAAATTATGTTAACTACAGAATTATAAACAAACGAGAAATATACTTAACACAGCCCCAACTGTGCAACTAACATGGACAAAACATAAAAAAAAAAAAACATAAACAACAAAAAGAAAGCGAAAAAATCGATCTATTGTTAAAATTTAAAGAAAAAAATACAAACTTTTGCTTGCGGGAATCGAAAAAATATGCAATTTATAAATTATTATATACCATTTACTTATTGTATTTATATTTTAAGTCGAAGAATAAACCATTCTAAACATGCAAAATAATCAATAAAAAGTGTTATTGGTATTTACAAAAGAAAAGCTTGAGTTTTCATTTACAAAGAAAGAAATTCAAAAATAGAAATGGATACTTTCACCATTTCGTGAAGGCATCGTTATAAGCAATAATATTTTATAGCAGAACTCATAGTAATTGGGATATTTAGAGAAAAAAGTTGCTATATTTTAGCTTAATTTTAAATAAATCTTTCAACAGAAATTATTAAAAGGATATAATAATATTGTTATCAGCGAAGAACAGTTTATCCGTTTATTTTAATACATTTTCCCTAACTCATTATTCATTATTCAAGATGATTCAAATGCATTGGCATTGCTTGGCAATGAAAATGCCTGCACCGATGCGTCAGAGGCATTATGTGGGCATGGGACTAATGATATCATTTGAGATAATCGGGCGACTCTCAATTGGATGATGTTGCGTGTAATTCCCTGGGCATTTACGAGTTTAAAAGATTAAATAAAATGAGCGTAAATTGGCTGGACAAATCTCATGAGTCAAAAGTAGATTGCATCAGCCATATAATTATTAATTTTCGATTTGGTCCAGAATTTTATTTGGCATTTCACGAGTTCACGAATTTAAACTCCACGGAAATGTTTTCGTCTCGCACCAGTTTGTTAATCAAAATCAAATTAAAGAGTTAAGATTTAAGTCAAATGTCTGGCAACCATTTAAGATAATTTGCAAAAGATTTCAAAAGAAATGCGAAAGGCGTTTTGATGACCAAAAACCTGACTAACTAAACTGACCTGGAACTTGGACCATGAAAAGCTATTTCTCGTATATGGAACCTCTCTACAATATAGTACAATATTAACGGCAAAAGTTTTTGCTTGTCCCACTTAAATTCAATTAACTTAAATTGAATTCCATGCGACATTTGACACAATTGACTTTGGTCTGAAGCCTTTAATCATGCCATGTGCTAACTACTCTTCAAGTACAGTAAAGCCTCGGAAATGACGCTAACTCTGGATGCGCAACCGCTAAACCATCCGTGACAACAATAGTCCAACACATAGGGAAGCCATAGAAAATATGCAATTTAGTTATACAATGAATTTGATTCATTTTAAATTCAATGTTAACTAGTTTGTGCTTGGGAACGCGGCGGGTGCCGAGGTTCACCTGGGCAAAAGGGGACTATATTCATATAGAATGCTAGCACAGTAAACATTCGCTTATCAGAAATACAAGCATACAGAATTGTCTAGAAAAAACAAATTGACATTTCAAAATGATTATAGTTCGATGGGCAGATGTTTTTTTTTATACTTTTTAATAAAGACGCAATTTAAAGAGCTCAAAATAATCAATTCCTAAGATCAAATCATTTTCAGAGAGAGAGCATAAAAGAAAAAAAAAATATAAAAACAAAACATAAAACTAGGAATTACATAGACCGCCTTTTATTAAAGTTGACAACTTTGTAAATTTCTGATATTTCATTTATTTTCTATTGTTAAAAACTTTTGAGCAACAACTTTAATAGTTGGTCTGTTTAAATGAATTTAAAATTTTTTTCAAACTTTTATTATCGAAAAAAAGGGCTATACAAAAATGTTTGTTGGTAAATAAACAATTTTCAGGTTTCTGAAATTCCAATTAATTTCGAACTTTAAAAACTTTTGGGCAACGAATTTTTTTGAGAAAGAAATAATAATAATATATTTGGTCTGATTAAATGAAATGTAAATTAAGTTCTACTTTTATTATAGAAAAAAGGGCTTTCAAAATATATTTTAAGTAAAGCTGAGTCTAGTCTTAGAACGGCGGCGTTTAACTGCGAGGTAACACTGTAGAACAATTGTTTTTAGCAGCGGTTACCGCAATAATTATACTAAGCAGGTGCTAAGGGCACGTGGAGAAAAAAAAAACAACAACAAATCAATCCGTTTTCCATACTGGCGCCATGCACACATGTATATTAATTATATATCTACGGTCAACAGCACCTAAACAATAGATTTGCGCTCCCGTACGTAATTAGCACAAATAAACCTGTTAAATATACATAGTCATAGTATAATCATAATGTCATGCCGGGAAACGTGCTCTCTAAGTGTGCAAATCCATCGATTGTTCCGATTGTTGCTAATTCCCAAATGAATGCAAAACGATGACGTAGTCAACCAGGCGGCACGCGTATTCCATTAGCCAAACTAGTTAAGATAGCTAACATAAAATAATATTTATGCACACAGACTGTCCCATTCTAGAAAAAAACAGAAACCCACAAGCAGGCAGATAAAACACCAATTTGTGGTAAACAGGGCTTGGGAAAATGAAAAAGTGTTGTGCGGTCAGAAAACTTTGCACACGAAACCAAAGTTTATAATATATGTAAATGAACTTTTTGTGGGGCCCGCCACAATCGAATGTGTATTTAGTAATGAAGCTTTCAAATGTTGGCTACAGTTTAAATTGAAGTTCACAATGTGAAGGTTAAATGTGACGAGTTCAAAATAAAGTCAAGGATATTTAAATCTCGTAGCTGTGACTTTCCTAAAATGTTTCGTCTATTTAGAAAATTTAAAGCGCCCAGGAGCAAAAACTCCAAAGGCAGTCAACCACACGATATGGGTGTGCTGAAAAAATCTCAGAACTGTAAGTTTTCACAGCTAAACGTTAATCTAACTGGCTAGAATTTATCTATTTGCCCACTTGGCAAAAAAAAACGACGGTTGAGACAGGTTATGGAACAAAAGATCGCACACTTTGCCCATTAAAAAGCTAAATGTACCGACTCTTAACAGGCTTATAACATGTAAATGCGCTCTGTTAAGTTCCTGTTAGTGAAAGGATCGAGGCTTGTCATATAAATTAAAATTGCTGTTTTATAAATGGAAATAAGTTTTGAAAAATAATAAAATGATGAGCTTAAAATATTAATATTCATATATTATACTTCTCACCAGACAATTGTATTTACTAGCAGTTCTAGGCAATAACATTTGGGTTAATATCAAAATAGTAAATAAAATGTGAACTTTGAAAAGTACAGTTCTGTGATTGTATAATATGCACATTAGATTATCAACAGACGAGATCTTCAAGAGGCATTTTATCTCAAACATAAATAGACATTTTCAAAGGAAATGATAATATTTTCTATTAAAATCTATATAACTTTGCTCATTATAAGAGCGAATAATCAGAATGTTTAATCTCGCATGGCAACTTCTATATATTTTTATGATTTTGCTATTATAATTGTATTTAACTTTTATACCGATTACAGGTCATAAGGATGGAAAGCTGAGCAAAGGCAATTGCAAATGTGAGCCAACGGCCTGTAAGTGCAGCAAGAGGAAGCAGCAATATCAGAGCTTGTTGTTGTCCCAGCTACGACGACGGGGCGCTGATAACTTATCAAGTGTTATATTATTCTAGTAAAAAAAAAAATGAAAGAAATAAAAAAATAGCAACAAAATAAAAACTAACAGCAGCGGTTCAAGCTGACACGAGGGTGTGTAAATGAATATGTTTAAATGTGCCGGCCTTACGACCCGCTTTTTAAATGCATAACATACTTCTCATATATGTATATATATATGTGATATAATATATGTATATAAAATGAGCGCATATTTAGATAAGTTAAGTGCTCGACTGATTGCACTAAAAGCTATATTTAAATGGTTGTTTTGGGTGCCGACCTAACTTATCTATAGCGAGCACTGGAAACTTCGTGCAAATAATACCACTTGCGAATAAAATGAATTCAAAAACAAATACAAATAAAATGAGAATTAATTTTAATCGTAAGCAATTGCGGGGCCATATCTTAAGAAGCGAAGGCCGCTTTATTCCAGGTAATCAATAGGTGTGTAGTCCCCCATTAAATGCACATGATATGGCGCCATATTATTGATATTGGTTTTCAATTTGATTGCGAAACGCCCTACACATTACAAGTATCGGGCACTACCTAGTGATAAATGTGATCTTAGCCACCGACTAGTAAATGAACAAACACTTCACATATACCTCACGTCCATTTTAAGGGCCTGTGGACTTTGTAATACCTGCTCAAAGAGGTTTGTAACCTTCTAAAAATATATTGATTTATTTATCTGAACGGCGCACTTTATTACATTGTTCAATCAACACTCTTCATTAGAGTATCTGTGTTACAATTGGTAGTACTGTAGCAAAAAGCAGGAGCGGATCAGCCACATTGAAGTAAATATAAATGGAACAATTGTTGAAAAAAAATGCCATTTCTAAACATTTTTCTCAAAGAAACCCAAGCTAATTTTGTATTAAATTCGTTGAGTTCTTTTTGTAAATTGTTTGACAGCATTTAAAATGTTTTTTGTTTATATTTAGTTTATTTGGCTCGAGGATAAAACAAAAATGGAACACAATGTTATTTTAATTCATTCTGTTAGTCTCAGTTGTTTTCCAAAAGCATAACACTAGTCCATATATTATAAAATTGTATTTATGGCAAAAATATTTAGGGACATTTTGAACCCGGAAGTTCCGGGTTCGAATAGCCTTCTAAGCATAGGCCCTGCCTTTGTAAATCCGCTCCTGTTGCTATAGAGTAAAGCGCAATATAATGCTATAGCAAGGTCAGTTAAATATTAATTACTTTAAAAGTGTTAAAACTAATTTGAAGCTTTGAGTTATGAGGATTGGTCAGTTACGCAAAGATTTCAATATGACAAGTACGTTAGCTCAACGCAACTATTATAGTTATTAATATTATCATTTATATGATAAACTTATGCATTTTACAACCCTTCATACTTTCTAAACATGCTCCCTAAATATATATTTTTACGGCTTCCCTTTTTAGTCACATGATTTATAACGTACTTGCATTTTAAAGAGCAAAATCAGTTTAAAAGATATTATACGCGAGTACTTTCAAGTACGTTGCCATATAATGAATTGTTTTTTATTACTTCTGTGTCTTTATCTTTTTGCCAGAAATGGCTGGCTAAAAGTGCCCCAGGTTCACATATCAAGTCGTAAATTTTTGAACAAATTAAAAGCAAAATGCGCATTGACAAATAATATAAATATTATTAAAGAGTTCGTACAAATTAAAGACGTACAGTGCACTTTTTTCTTTGGAGAAGACGCACCTCTGTTTGGGTAGAATCTCCTAGAAAACAAACTGATACATGGTATATATTTAGAATGTTTTTATGGCCAAATAAAAACAGTAATAATAAACAAGTCTAGCATTTAAATTTTACTCAAGATAAGAATAAAGTGTGAATTCGAAAAGAGCCAACACGAGCAACAACGAGCCGCAAATATTGACGTGTTTTCCTCATTTACTTAATTCCATATCTAGCTGAATTTTGATGCGCAGAAGTTTTTTGGTTATATTTTAAAACGTGGCAAGGAAATTCTTCTTTACCAATTATTGATATTCGCAATTGACGTCTTAAGAATTCAGCGCAAATTAAAATTTTAATACATATTTTAAGTTGGTAAACATGTTTCCTCCAAAATGACAATTTATAGAGAATATTGCCTTCTAAATTTGACATAAACTAAAATGATTTTGGTGTATTACTATTATACCCTAGTAGGGAGGGATCATTTAAAGTATCTCACTAAACGTGTAACGCACAGAAGGAGGCAACGTTTATCCCCGAAAATATATACCTTCTTGATCAGTATAATCATTCTAGTCGATAAGGCTGCATCTATCGATATGTAACTTTTCATATGTCCTGCTGTATCGGACCGACATATCATATATAGTACATATCATATAGCTACCATATGAATACCCGATTGAAGTTTAAGTTTTCACGTGAAAAACTGTTTTGATTTTCAAAATAACTTGACAAAACTTAGTATTTAATAGTTTTAATATGCTTCTTACATATAAATCCAAATCTTATGAGCATTGAACTACTACATCACATAATCCTAAAGGAAGATTCGGTAAACAAATCGAGTTATTGTGCTTTTCTCTGCTTTTCCAGATATCTTCACCAAACTCAACACATTCTAGCTTCACAATTCTCCTTACGTATCTGCACAACCGTATAACATACGTCTACAAGAGTATATATTCTTCGGCGTGCGGAAAATAGCCGTTCTATCTTGTGTTAATCAAAGTTCGAATGTATATTCTTTGTTGAAAAGGATTTCCTCTGTCTTAGTCATTTGCGAATTAAATTCCCAGTAAATAATCTTTGTCGACACCACGAAGAAATTAAACATATATGTTTTGTGAGAAACGCGACACGTGTGAAGTTGATAAGCAAATTAATAAAATATAAGAATATTCTATTATCTGAAGCCCTTGGGCAGAGGCTATAAGAGCCAAACAAAGTCGAATGCAGAACCATTAAAAAATATAAATATTTTTATAAGCAAAGATAAGAGATTATCTTTGAGGGCTGCATTAAAGTACCTGGCCTGTGAGTTATGCTACAGATCAATCAAGACATTAGGAAATGCCAATAGAATATGATTAATACGGTGGGTTAATCGGCCCAATAAGATAACGCATTAAGTAAACCAGGACGAGATGCGATAAGCCACTTGTTCGATAAGAAACTAGGTAAAAGAATTCATAAAGTGCATTGCTTCACTTACCCGCAGTAGCCAGGTGAGCACACTCTCCCGATAGGGCACAAATGTGCTGGGCGTGGCATTGCCGCCCATCTTGCGCGAATCCGCCAGCGCGGCAATCACCTTGCCCAGGGTGAGCAGGCTTTTATTGATGCTCACGCCCTCGCGTATACGCTCGCCATTGGAGCCCGATACGCTAATGCGTTCACTGCCCGCCAGATCCACCAAACTGATCTTGCTGCGTCGCGTCTGGCGCAGCGAGACGACCGTGCCTGAATCGGTGTCCGAGGACATGCCATCATCGCTGCTCAAATCTGTGAGATTTAGCACAATGTTGAATATGGAATGCGAGCGGGAGCTTTTGTCATTCATGGCCGTCGAGGCGGTGGCCCGCTGCGAGTTGCCCACGGCCAGCCAGTTGCGCAGCGCCGAATATGAGTCCACCGAATGAGCGCTCAGGTCCACAACATATGGCCCGAAAATGGGATGTTCGCGCACCTTCAGAGCATGCCGCTGCACGGGCGTATCCGGCGTGGCGGCAATAGCCTGCTGCACACTAAGCAGATCGTGTATTTTCTCATTGTAGATTTCAAAGTAGCTGACCTCCACCTCCACCTATGGGCAAAAGAGAATATACATTAAAGTAAATATAAATTGGAGTATATACATATATGTATACTAGCAGGTAACCGGTTTGGCCTGGGCCAGTGAGTCAGTTTTATATAAATAGATAGACAACCTGCAGCTGCTGCTTGACTGCATCGATTCTTCTGAAGAGCTCATGACAGAAACGTGGTATAATGCCCGCCTCCATATGCGGGGCATTGCCATCTAGCGCCGCATCATCCAGCCCCTCAATGCCCATCATGCTGTAGGATTTGCCCGAACCGGTCTGCCCGTAGGCAAATAAGCACGCATTATATCCCTCGAAGGCGGTGTCGATCAATGGTTGCGCAGTGCCAGAAAATACGGCCAGCTGATCCGCATAGTTCTTGCGATCCGGGTCGCATGAATAGTAAACCTGATCGTAGCTAAAGAAATGTGTAACTCCGGCCGTCGCATCAGCGCTGCTGCCCGCCTGGACGCTCAGCTCGTTGTTGCCATGGACTTGCACCACATTCGTGACGCTGGCACGCTGGCATTCCGGCGCATTCAGTGGACGCACGCGCACCGCAACCATCATGTTGCTCTCCTCGGCAATGCTGTGAAAGGACTCGACCATGGCATCTTTATCCTTCATCCTGCTTGCGGATTTCACGTTGTTGCTGGGCGTTTGGGGTCCTCGCAACGGCGTCGATTTACCCGCATTTCGGTAGAGCGACGAGGGCGTGTAGCATGCATTTAGTGCGGTTGGCTTTGGCTTCGGGTGTGGAGTTGGTGTTGCAATGCCGCTGCTAAAAGCCGTATTTAGCAGTTGGTCTGCCTGTGTGTGCGTCGGTTTCTCGGCACTCCGTTTGGGCGTGCGGCACAACACCTTGCGACGCAGTCCTGCCGCAACTGTTGCAGGCGTTTTCGTGGCGCTGCCACTGGCACCAAAGCTGCCGCGTGCACGTGCTTGGAATTGGTGTATGCGTTGCTGCACAGGCGTGCTTTTGTTGCTCATTTTACTAAATATATTTACACTGTTGTTTGTTTAAACAAATTAAAATGCTGTTAGTTTCGAAAAGAGCGCGCGTCGCGTCGTTTGTTGTCAATTTTTTCATTCTAGTGATGTGAAAGTTTCGATAATAGTGGGCCAGGGCTGCTTCTACTAGTCCACACATGTGTTTTCGAAAAACAGAGATCTGGCAACATCATACAGTTATTTTCAAATGGTAATCGATTGATTTGGTTTGCATAAAAAATATTTTTAAATAGTTTCGCTTCTAATAGTTGCATATAATAAACATGTTAAATTTATTTTAATTTCATAACGCTCTGTTTTTTTAAAGTAGTTTTTGACAGAGAAAGTAGTCAAAAATGTATTTTGACGACAAATTACTCAAATGGCGATTTAAACATTAGATTGCATAAATCATTTTTTTAATATTAGTTGGACAGTTATATTTTAACATTATTAACTATTCTACATTTTGTCTGTTTGTTTTTTTCGCCTTTGGAAGGAAATTGCGCCGTGCAATCTAAAGCAAAAACACATATAGCTGCACCCTTCACACTCACTGAATTACGAGACATACAATGATGTGTTTATGGGCTCCAACTTGTTTTGAATTTGCTAGTGCTGGCACACGTCAACAGCCGTATCGATGCCAATGCAACATCGATACTTTTGGGTATGTTGTTGTTTTCATTGCACTAGTGCATGTAGCCGACGTAGACAAAGATATTAAGATTGATTTGAGATTCCATTCTATTTGCCATACAATACAAGTTTAGTTAAAGAGCGCTGCTGCCGCATTTCACATTTGCAAGTGCATTAGCAAGTCGAACTCTTGCTTCGCAGCTAACAAATTGCTTCTGCTACCTCGCACACACAGTCAATCACATAAATAAGCGCGTTTTGAGAGCAGGTCTTGCATTTGCAGCAAAACAGTGCTCGCGCACGTGCAACAGAATACCTAGACTCCTGCAAGCCCGATAAAGTCGAATTCCCCTCATAATCAGCAACTGCAGCATGTCCCAACAACCTGTTGCATTTTTGACGCGCCGCGAAACGTTCAGCGCTTGCCATCGCCTGCACAGGTAATAAATAATAAATAAATCAATAAATTCAATTCAATATCACAATTGACAAGCCGCACAGTTGTGTTAGCTTAATTGCTTTACTCGGTTTGCAAGTGTTTTGATTTCTTTATTCAATTGTGTTTTCCACTCAATTCATTGCAGTCCTCAGCTGAGCGATGCCGAAAATTTGGAAGTCTTTGGGAAATGCAATAATTTCAATGGACATGGTCACAATTATACGGGTACGCAGCAACTCTCCATGTTTTGGCATAAATATTTTCGTAAATTGTTAAAATTAAATGCTTGATTAGTTGCGATTAGTAGCCAGCCATATCAAGTGACATTTGGTTAACTCAACCACAGCCATTGGAAATGTGAGACGAAACAAACAATCTGTTTATACCATAGCCAGGCCTTGGCCGACAAGCTCGCCTATCAAGTTCATCATTCATTAAATATAAAAGGCAAGGTTGTACAAAAAAAATAATTGATAATGCAAAAATGTTATAATTGCATATGAGCAGAATGAGTTTGTTGAAAACATAGCAATCACAAGGCTGCAATGGCGACAGAAGTGTCGGGCTTTGATAGATTCCCTTTTTGTTTAAGATCTTGTAATTCTAATAAACTATGTTCCTTGTCTATTCGTAGTCGAGTTGACTGTGCGCGGTCCCATCGATCAACGTACTGGCATGGTGCTGAACATAACAGAACTAAAGGATGCTATTGAGGCGGTCATTATGAAGCGCCTGGATCACAAGAATCTGGACAAGGATGTGGAGTACTTTGCCAAAATTGTAATTATATCCTCTCACAAATGCTAACATTTCATTGTCTAACCCCCAATTCTTGCAGCCGAGCACCACAGAGAACCTGGCCGTTTATATTTGGGATAATATACGCACACATCTCAAGAAGCCGGAGCTTCTCTATGAGGTAAAGATATTCGAGACGCCAAAGAATATTGTTACCTATCGCGGGCCGTATCAATTGAATGGCCTGTACAACTCATTGAATAAGCGCACTGCACGCGATTCGTGTACCAATATCTCATCCGATTCGGATTAAATATGGCAGAATATATACTTACGAATTTTTGTTTTTGGACCAATGCTCAGTGAAGCACAACTAAAATACTTACACCTACTGTGAAATTGCACATAATAACACATATTTAGTTATTATCAAGCGAGTTATACGATTTACAAAGTATATGTTTAGAATTAAATGTATTCAAATGAAAATCATGAGAATTATATGGAATAAATACTGTAACAACAGCAAAGGTTTCTTTACAAGCTCATTTATTATGCTAAGATTGCATTATCAACAATTTGTTTGCATTATTAACTCAGTACATGTCATTTTTATATATTTTATATTAGGTTCTCTTCAGTTAGCATTAAGCCAACTCTAAATGACAGCTAAATTGAAAACTTTTTCATGTATATATATATATATATATATATATTTTTTTTTTGTTGCTGATCAGGTAAGCTAATAATAGTTGTTCAAGTTTGTATAATTTATATCATAAGTATTTGTAGTTTGGATATATATAATTTAAATTGCTTAGGCATCAGTTTTACCACTAATTTATATCACGTTGTCTATGCTAAACGCTCCATACAATTTACTAGACCAGTTTACAACGATTCACCAAGATATTGCTTAGTTCTCTGTTGCAGCAGATTGTTCAGGATTCTTCTAAACCGTATTTTTTCAATTTATTAACAAACAAAATAAAAGCTTGAAAATGATTATTTTATATATGTAGCCAAGTCTGCCTGTCTTTATACATTATCTGTTGTTAGACATAAAAATATCTAAATGAAGCTTGAAATGTTTTCGTATTTTTGTGGCAGATGGAGTCGGATTGAATCTCTGTATTATATAGCTGCCTTAGGAACTAATGCATGTTTTTTTTTTTTTTTTTTAAATTGTTGCCATTTTCAAGATATCTTGACCAAACTCAGAACTGTGAGCATACATTTGACTAATTTAGTTTAAGCTTATTCAAAGACTTTATAAACTAAGCAATATCTCTTCAACTTTTTGACTTTCTTTAATTTAGACAGAATTAACATGTTCAGTATGCGAATTTTCATAACGTACAAACAGATGTTGGCAAAAACCAATTTTGTAAACTTCCCTTTTCGTTTTGTATGGCTCATTTTAGAGTAATCTAAGTAGTATTAAGACTTTCAGCGCAGAGCCTTTAGCCCGTTGTCGTAATCCTGCACGTATAAGCTGCAGTAGATGTGCCAATCTTTCGAATCTGTGGGATCAGCAGTTGTATGCGTTTAGGGAAATTCACAATTGGGCCAAAAACAAAACTACGTGGATTAGTACTAGTCTTATACGTGTGCTGATTAGTGGCTACGTGGCTGCAGTCAAGGAGCAATGGCCATAAAAAGACTTTCTTTGCGAGACTCGCGAACAAAACAATCGGGTATATCGTACTTATATAAGGCAGTCAGGCAGTTCAGGTACCCATAAAACTTTTCGACCAAATTAAGAATGTAGGAACGTATATTGTTTTCTTTTTTTTTCTTCACTCATATGCGGTTTTTATTATTTATATATTTTATTTGTCTTTTTTTGGTGGAAGTCTCCGGAGTGCATAATGAGTCAGTATAACATATCACAGCCTGTTCGTACAGATTGGGCAAAACGAGTTTTGTTTGGAGTCTGTTGCCAATGCGCACCTGACTGCAACCATATTAGTGGACTTACAAGCAGTTAGTTTAATGACTTTTTGGGATCTTTGGGATATGTGTGGGGCAGTACCAGATATACATATATATATATACTATATAGATAACTATGCTCCATTTACTAGATGCTAAGCAATACAGGTTAATGTACATTAGTTCGAACGAATCTTAGGATTAATACTTTAACAGCCTTAACCTCCAGTTAACAATCAAACAAATTAGCTACAATTTGACAACTAGTTAAATATTGTGTTGCGCACTAAGTTCTAAAAATACATGATAAGTTACCAACTAGCTAAAGCATTTCTGTAAGTGTCTTATTTGTTAAATTTGGTTTCATTTCACATTTGGTCTGTCATGGCATTTGGTTTGCTTGTCGCGAATTAGATGGTGGTGCGCAGTGTCTTACCTGGATTTCTAATCGATATGAACGGTATGCCGAACTCAAACTCATTCTTTGGCCAATACTTGAGCAGCGGCTGCCGCTGCGGCAGCTCCGATTCCACATAGAAATATGCGAACAGCACCAGCACCGTGTATGCAGCTATGAATATGAGTATATGCCAAAAGCCGTGCAGATATGGAAAGTTGATTGCAGACCAGGCCTCGCAAAACATCCGATCGTTGATCCAACAAAAAACTGCCACGCCCCAAACTGTGGTGGCACGCAGGCCCAGACGATAAACGCGCTGATCACGAACTCTGCGGATGAAAAAAAAAAAAGCAAACAAACAAAAGTTCAAAAGTTTTCTTAGCTGCCATCAAAAAGAGCTATAAAATGCCATGGCAACTTATTGAGGGAATTGCTGAACCAATTATTGTTATTTGTATATTATTTCTTAATATATATTTTATATGCTCAAAGATCTTAAGAACTTTCTTTTAAGTGCTCTTAAAAATTATCAAACTACATTTAAGCTATTAATACGGCGCCGAAGATTAAGTATTCCTGCAAATTGGCGATAAAGTTAGCTACAATATAAGCCACAGCATATATACAAATCATTTTAAATGCCAAATTCTGAAAACTTAAACCGATTGTTTCCTTAGAACGATACGGTTTAGATTTAACTTATCTGGTTTAACTAAGTTGAGATTGAGAAATCTTGAAAATAAAATTGGTTTTGCAAAGAAAAGTCAATTTCCAGCAAAACTTTCTGCTCTTTAAGATAGATGGATATGACTATATCGACTTAGTTCTTGTTACTATTTTAAAATATATATTAACTTTTTAGAATATATATATAAGTATTATTAAATATATTATTTTTGACTGTGGAGGATTGTTATGTCTATTTATGATGCAATAATTTGTCAAATCGCATAATTTTCAAACTTAAATATTATTGCCATTTCTCAAGTGATTTACTAAGAAGCTAAAACAGCAAATTAATATTTATAGTAATTGTTTTCTTGCGTTTAGCTCATTTTAAAATTATTTTAGCTTATTTGATGCAAGAACATATACAAAAACCTTGTTCGACTTTTTTATTTAGAACCATATAAATCACAATCGAGCATATCGTTCAAACTTCCGATTGAAATAAACTCCCTATCTTTATGGGTGTCAATTATTATTTTTTTTTAAAAACTTTCGACTAAGCAAACATTTTCTATATTAATTGATTTTGGATGACAGAGCTTCGAGTGCTACAGTAGCTTATCTAAGAGCACTTTTTTTTTTTAATTTAAAGATAATAGTTTAGCTTTTTTAAACGTTGCGTTCGCTCATTAAAAATTGAAATAGATTCAAGAGCTTAAAAGCCATCCGTCTTTTAGCAGTCCTATAAAATAAGCCTGTGATTTATGGCCCAATGCTATTTCAACAGTTGCGCTCATTATTTCAAGAGAAGCTCTACTGAACTTTGACTTGCTCGGTTCGTTTAGATAACAAGTTAGTATGATGTATTGGAAGCACACACAGACCTAGATAAATATATAGATTAGGCAATGGGTACACCTGTTCCCAGTTGATAAAAAAAAAAAGAAGGAAAAACTCGGGTAGCCATGGGCTTTGTTAAACATGCATGAAATTGATAAGGATTGAATGATATGATATACGATTTAGCTGGCATAGTGCTTGTCTTTGTTGAACTTATCGGTCAACTAGGCAAACGCTGCTTATCGGCCTGAGTTTTGGGCATATTTTGGGAACATACGCACCGCTGCAGCTCAGTGTAGAGCATTATCATGGTCGGCACGCCCATGAGCATCAGCACAAAGGCATTAACAATGGGCTTCCACCAGCACAAAGCCGTTGCGATAATGGCCGATATCAGCATGAGCCAGCTGAAGGCTTTGCTGTTGAGCAGACAAGAGTTAAGTTAAGTAGGGTGCATTCATTTCTATATTTCATTAGACACTTACCGATCGTTCTTAACGAACTTTGGATAGTAACGCTTGGGATAGAACAGCGAGAAGCCGGCTATAAACACCCAGAGTATGGCCAGTTCGTCGAGCAGCTGGCCCAATAGACTCAATGTCGCATGGAAATACATGGAACTGAGACCCACAACAATCAGCAGCACCCACAGCAAATGTATTCCGGGCGTCACAAATCTTCCGTATTCCTTAAACAACATTATCAGCACGGGCGGCAACAGGATAAACAGAAAATTGCTGAACTGCAAGAGAGAAGCAGGCGACAGTTAGATAAGCTAGACACAATTAGATAAAACCAAAGTTTCAATTAATCAATTGAATTTATTAAAACTATAATTGTTAAGATATTAAATAAAGTATTAGAACAAATACTCATCACATGAATAAATGTTAAAAAAAAAGAAAACAAAATCTTAGGTAGAACTAAAAATATTAAGAATATGAAGTAAAATAATAATGTTCCGATTTATTAAGCATTAAAAATAATAACAAATATATTATAAAAATTATTATAATCGTTTCAGAAAAACTGAATTGCATTTTGATAATAAATTCGTTTTTTTTTTTAAGATAGAATTTTTTTTGAATTATTTGAATTTTTTTGTAGGCCTTCGAGTTTGTCTAATTTTGAAAAGTTGAAAATAAATCATTCAAATATAATATAAATTATTTTTTGCTGACTATCAATTAAATAAATAATAAAGGAAAATTAAATTATTGTCTGATTAAAGCTTTGAAAAAAATGTATTTAATAGAAAGAGTTAGTTGACAGCTAAGTTTGGTATTAATATTTGAATATTCGTCTGAATTAATTAGTTACGAGCTTTTACGGACTAAGCATACGAGCTGAGGAGCTGAGCTGCTTAAAAGAAAGGTAGCCAACATTTTGTAAGGTCAAGAAATGTATTCAAATAGACAAACGAGTTTTTTTTAATTACTGCCGGACAGTTAAAGCCAAGCATATAGAATGCGGACACGAAGCAAGTAAACGAATGCCTCGAATATACCCTGTTTATAGCACGATAGCCTTGCTCAACAAAAATAATGACATTGGGCTAAATCCTAGCCCCCAACGAGAAAGCGAGCAGCCAACCATATCTGAGGCTTTATTTGTGTCAAAGCGTTTGTTATGCCATTTGTTCGGGCAGAGTTTTTAAACAATTTATATTTCGTGTCAGCCGAAGCACGAGAACAAAGAATGACAAGAATAATTTATTGGCCCAAACATAATTAAATGTTGAATTGTGTGCAAGAAGCAAGAATAAAAAACAAATTGAAATAATGTATGGAACTTAAAACAAATGCAATTACAATTAAAGGCCATCACGAAACGGGGCTGGGCAAGGCGAGTCTGTGTTGACTTTCTAGAATATATTTATATAGTATCTCATATAAACACAACTAGGCGTCATATAAGTACATGTGTGTATAATATATATAATAAATATGTACGCATGACCCCCGAGCAGTTCATTAACTTATTGCATTTCAGAATATAAAAAGGGAATCTAACAAAAGGCAGTGTGAGCTTTAAATTAATTGCAGCAGACAACAAATGAAGCAATTACTCAGGATAATAAAAATGAAAACAATTAAAAGTTTTTCATCATCATTAGCAATTCATTATGATGAAAGCATATTGACCATTACAATTACATTACAATATCATAAGACTTAAATAACGCATGGAAAGGTCAGGAGTTCTGTTCGTAGAGTCGATATTTGTTATGGTAAATAAAGTTGTATATTGATTGAACATTGTTTCAATCTATCAATCTATCCATGGCAATGTATATTTAAGATACTTTCATATTGTGATGGATTGTGGGAAATTAGTGCGGCCATCAATCAAAATATATGTTAGCTCAATCAGATAAGATCGGTGGGAAAACAACAAAATGATAAACTGCTGATTTCTGAATCACTGTCAACATTTAACCCTAATTTGTTTATGTCTAACAGCGGACGGCGTTTTCAAATGAAAAATTAAAATAATAAATATATTCTAGTGGCCGAAATTGAAAATAATTTTTCCTATATACATCACATGAGTATATATCATTAGCTGGCAAATCTTTCAGTTACCATTTGAGCTTTAATAACTTAACTTCTTTAAAGCTTTCTAGTTCAAAAATATTAAAGCCCAGAGAGCAATGAAAATGTTGCTTTCAAAGCAAGAGATAAAACAAGTAAGAGGTTCTAGTCTGGAGCTCCCGACTAGGGGATACCCTGAACCCTCTTCTTCCAGCATCAAATGCACATATATATTCTATTTTAGAAGCTATATTTCAAGTTTGGTGACTCTAGCTCTTATTATTTACCAAAATTGCCCAAAAAACAGGATATCGATATCGATTTTTATCGATTGCTTGGAAACGGTTAAGTTATCGACTATCGGAAACAAACTTGATCTGCGCGGAAGCTAGGAGCATCTACATCTAAAATTTCTCTAGCTCTTATAGGTTCTGAGATCCTAACGTTCATACATACGGACAGACGGACAGACAGACAGACGGACATGGCTAGATCGACTCGGCTATTGGTGCTGATCAAGAATATATATACTTTATGGGGTCGGAGATGCTTCCTTCTGCCTGTTACATACATTTGGATTTTGCGCAAATACAATATACCCTTATACCCATTTTTAATGGGTTCAGGGTATAAAAATTAGATAATCTCAATGAAATGATGGCTATTCGAAGTTAAAGTTTTCGACCGATCACTTTGCTAATAAAACGTAATAAATGAATAAATAATTTTATAGAATAAACATTAATCTACTTGCATATCTCTAGAAAGTCAGATCGCAAAGTCCATATGATATATATGTATATCGAAAGTAAAAGAATTCCTATTTGGACGCACTTTATCATGTTGACTTCGTATCTGGTACGATGATTGAGTAATTATCTGATCATTCAGCTCGTAAATAGTTTGGTGTCCTATTTTTGCTTATTAAAATAATATATGTATACTGCCTTTTGATTTGATTACGCAAGCGGGGAAAAAATATCAAACAGTTGTTGATAACAAATGCGCAAAAGAACGAAGAAAAACTAGAAAAAAAAAAACAAAAAAAAAAAGAAATAAATAAACGGGTAGGCACGTTCTTTTATTTATACAAAGGAATCATTGCGCAGCTTATTACGCATTTGTGACATGAACTTTGAGTTTGAGTCTGTGATAAATAATTAGCTCAAGAAATGCGATAAGAAAATCCAATAAGAAACTCTAAAAAGCAATGTTGTAATTAACGGTAGTTACGACCACAAAAAAAACAACGTATATTCTATGAAAGGCACGTTTTTATACTTATTTTTAGTTTTTTTTTTTTATTTATTTTAACCAAATTTAAGCAAATATCAGTTTCTCTCAAACAAAAAGCAAATTATATTGTAATAAATATATGGAGACTCAATTGTTTATTTTGTTAATAAGTTCTAAACTAAAGATAAGCTAAAATTCCTTTATACTAATGGAGTGCAGTAAATAGCTAGCATAGATTTCTTTTTTACAATTAATTAATCATTTATCAATTTGTAAAACAAAACAGTTTTAATGCATCATTAAATAAAGTACCACTTTTGGTACAATTGGTACCACATGTGCTGAAAACTAACTGTAACTATTAGTGTTGGCAAGTGTTTGCCAACAGCATCGCCGTTTTGTTTACAATCAGCGTTTGTTAGTGTGAGTAGCTTTCACACGTACAGAAAGGTCAAGGTCTTACAGCGCGCTGTAAATATATATGTGTGTGTGTGCGCGCGCATGCACGCGCGTGTTTCTGCAAGTGCAGCGCCAATTATGAGTACCACAAAAGGGGTTATGCAAAAAAAAGGAAAAGAAAACATTTGCCACATATACGCACCGTGTTAACGAACTCGGCAATATTCGATGATATTAAATAATTGCCCTCGCACCAATCAACGGGCGAACTTCCGGGTCGAAATAAATAAATGGCATAAATATCCATAACGCTGCCCGTGTCCATGTTGATTTCAATAAAAGTTAATAATATTAACTAATGCACTTGACGCTATTGTTGGCGTACTACTAATTGCTTTGATTAGTTATCCTTTTGTTCTATATTTTTAAGGCACTTGTGCTCTAATGTACTTAATCTTGAGCAATTGTTTGCATAATAGCCAAGAATTGCATATAGGCAGTTATTTGCGTGCCTTTGTTTATATATTTTGGGTTTCAGTGATTTTGCATGTTCGTTTTCATTGATGTTGCATGCAACTTGTGTTTTTGTGTACTAAGTGCCTTATATAAGTTTCTTCGGTTCATTTGTGCGATGTCGAGGGATAACTAGATTACATCTCTTTTATGTGTTTTATCATTGTGCGCTCCTTTTACTAAATTTGCGAACATGCGTAGTAATGTTAATTTGACGAAAAAATTAAATTAAAATACAAATACGCAGAACAAACACGTCTGTCGCGTTGGCGTACGCTTTGTTTACTGTTAATACAATGTTATGCTTGTACTCAAAATGTCATTTGATGATACGAGTAACTCTGGAAATGAGTATTTCGATAGAGTAAACAGTGTTCAAAAATGCAACTAGCTATCGCAAGTCAGATTATTTTAAATGCTGTTTTTTACTAATTATATTTTGTTTATTAAGAAATCTGGTATCCTGTTACTCTATGTTAGCAACTTTTATCAGAGTGACATAATTACTTAGCTTAGCGATGATTGTGGTTTTACAGTTAGTTTTACAATTAGGTTAACAGATTACAGAAACATATTTTGATGTAATTAACGAAGCTTGTCACCTATACATAACGATCGATTAGGTCGGTTGGGTAGGTCCTCTTCAGTCGCCTTCTTCTTCGCCTCCTTAGCAGGCTCCTCGCCAGGATGTTTGGATGGTTGTGGAGCTTTGTTGAGTAGCTCGCTGCTTGCCTGTTGACTACGTCGCCCACCATTGGAACCTTGAGGTCCTTGGCGATGTCGCGTGTGCGAATATACCATTCGGCTCCAGTTATTTTGCGCAGGGTTTTGGCCTGAATGATGCGAATTTTGTTCAGGTGTGTTTTTGCAGCTATACCGTAAACTTGAAGCCCGTAACGCCACACTGGGGAATGTAATGTTGCCATTTGGGGCCATTATCGGAGAAATAGAATAATAAAGGTTGAAATATCGTCGCCATTTTGATGAATAAATATGTTAAGTATGGAATGTTGCCAGCTAGTTTTTTTTTGCATAACATGGGGTATAATAAGAAAAATAGAAAAATGCGAATTTCTCACAATAATATAACATAATAATGAAAAAACGAATTTCTAACTTTTATTTCCCGAATTTTTCACAATGGCGCCACAACATGGCAGTCAATCAAAGTACCGATACTTTACATTGGCTGTGCGAGTCGGTATTTAAATACCGTCCATTGCACTCTGAAGCCAGAGTTGCCAAACACTTTATAGTGCATCATACAGCTGACAAGAGTTTTTCCTTTTTCCAATAGAGTAACACTTGCCCTTTTTGTATACTGTTGTTTTGTTTAGTCTAGTCGATATTTTCAATATTTATAAATATTAAGGACTATGACGACGTGGGGAAATATTTGCCGCATATGTAGCAGTCCCGCAGACTACAATATCTTTGCCAAAATACCCACATATTTGCACGGGTCGACTAACGAGTTTCTGAATTATCAGAAGCCAATTAACGTATTGCTTGAAGAGACATCCGGACTGAAAGTAAATATCTCTTATTCATTTTTGTATCAGCTTTGAAGTTGGTTTGATCTCTTATTTGGTTCTATAGAACTCTCCAGATGATGGACTGCCATCATTTATATGTGCACTATGCATATCGTATTTAAAACACGCTGTAACATTCCGCGAACAGTGCATAAAAAACGCACTTAGCCTTAAGCTGATCGAGCTATATCAACAGAAGTCTGTCAAAAATAAGGGTGACAAGGAAAGTGCACTCTTTACTGCAGAGCAGCTGAGCTATGTGGAGCAACGACCGGTGCACAATCTCCTGCTTAACAATAACAGCGCCAAGCTGGAAAGAACGGACAAAGTGCACAAACAACTGCTTAATCAGACTGTGCCCCAACAATGCGGCAACAACGAACGACGCATACGCTACTTGAACGATTTATTCGACAAGCATCGAAATGCTACACAGGTAGGCAGCTCAACCTTTTTTGAAGCAGCAAAGTAACATGTCATCGACAGGCAACAGTGGAGCTGCCATCGACCAGCGCTGGCAGCGGCAGCGGAAATGGCGAGGAAGAAGACTATGCAGCCGTCACCTCTAGCGATGACAACGAGGAGAATGCGCTGTCACGCAAGCACAAGAATTGCTATAATTACAGCGAGACGAATTTCGAGGAGGATGATCCCATGGAGCAGGCTCAGCTGAGGGACATCAAAGTCAATATACCCGAACCTATGTGGAAGGAGCGCAAGTGCCCGGCCTGCTCCAAGCGCTATATGCACGAAGACTCGCACCAATTGCATCTTGACAATTGCGTGGAATTTCAGTTCATCAGCTTTGTTTCGGAGGTCAACAAACTGCTGGAGATAAAGCGTCAAAAGATGGTGTCACCACACGAGTTCATTAGACGAATGATATTTGCTCTACACAAAACCTGCACCTGGTTGCAGGAGCACTCGATCGACACCGATCTGGCCGATAAACTAAATCAGAGTAAAATAACTAATGGCAGCAGTGAGAAAACTGAGAAAAGTGAGCCAGCTCAAGAGGCCGCACCGAAGTGTTCGACCGGCTGGGATAGTTTCCCATCACCATCAAATGATGATGCGCTCTTTAGCAACTCCTTGCTTAAATTTAAGAGCGGTACCAACACCCCAATAACTGCTGAAAACAATGTACTGTATGCTATTGAGCGCTCCGAGAGTCGCAACTCGCAAAATACGCCCAATCTAGTGGTAAAGAAGCCCATACCTATTAGATGCAAAGGCCCGGCATCTGTTGCTGCAGCGACTGCACCCTTACATGAGGAGCGTGCACGTGCCACATTTCTGGAGAAGCTGCAGCGAGCCACTGTCACGCCACAGCAGCAGTCGCCAGTGCCAGCAACGCCCACAAGTGCAACGTTGATGCCTTTCTCGGCAGCGCGTTGCAGCCAATGCAACTTGGTATTCGAATCCGTTAGCGAACTGGAGATTCATAATGTAATGCATCATAATGGACAGTGCAATGTTGGCAATGCTAAGGACGAAGACGCACAACGGCGTCGCATAATTGCCCTATTCGAAGATGATATTTAATTTATTATAGGTTAGTTTCATTTTATTCCGTAACACATTTAAGTCTGAATCATTTCCTTACAATTTATTGTAAGGTGCCTCTAGTGCATTGTTTTCTTTTATACATTTTTAGTTATTATTTTTATACTGTGGCTACTGTCTGTCCTTTGTATGTATATCAACATTGAATGTTTTCACCTGCATCCCTAAGGAAACTCAAAAGTATTTATAAACCATTTCTATATTTATAAAAACCATAAGATGCCGAATAAACAAGCCATTTTAGGGTTATATATATGCTACTAAAGACTATCTAATCAAATTCGCCCTCTGTTTATTTCTCAACATATTTGAAACTTTGAGGAGACTTCGTTTTCTCGTAAATTAATCTAAGCACTTTGTGCAGCGCCTATAAAAAGTTTCAAGACGATATTGGGGTCGAATGGGGTCGAAGATGTCTCCATAGTTAACTCATTTCATGACAAAATTGTAATACTCTCTACAAGGGGTATAAAAACAATCGGATATAACTTTTGACTCATCCCATCATTCTTCTATAAAAACATAGAGATCATCTTCAAAGCTGTTTATGGTTAATATGTAACAGGAAACTTCAAAATATATGTTTTAATGCTTAACCTAAATGTGAACATATCTGAACTATACCTGGTTAAGCATAGACTCGGAGATGTGCCAACACGAAATCGTTGTCCAGCAGCTGCGCATCCATTAGATTTTTCAACAGCTGCATCAAATCCATAGTTAGACTGGTATCACGTAGGGCAAATAGTTGATTTAAAGCGTTCACAAGATGCTCCACCTGCAATTCCAATTGGCCAACAAATGGGCGTGCAGCAAACATGTTGGCTAGCACGCGCACTCCATAGACGGTGCGTAGCTTGTCGGCGGAAGTGTTAAAACCAATATTCAGATTGGCCATAAAAAAGTCGTACAAATGCTGAAAATGCTGCGCACATAAATCCCGCTCTCTGCTAACAATTTCCAATTGAAATACAATGCACATGTAATATTCGGCAGCCGGTTCCGCTGGCTGCTTCTTGTGCAGATTCTCGGCAATGTGTCGGCGATCGTCGGCGGTTATGGAGGCAGCTGCATGAATGGCTATCAAATACAAGCAAATGCCAGCATCTTCCTGGTAGCCTTGGAGATCGTCAGACGGTAACGTATAAATTTTCCACAATTTGGTCGCCAATTGCATCTGCAGCAACATGTTAGCGGATTTGCGGCATGTGGCCAAAATGTTGGCCAATGTCCAAAGGCAACTGCGCTTCAATCGCGGCTCGTGACTATCCAAAAGCGTAACTAGGTAGCTGCCAGCCAGCGCTGTTATTTTCTCACAAACATGCGCTTCTCCCAGTGAAAAGTTGCACAAGCATTCGGCAGCCTCAATCTGACGCTGCATATGGGTACCTGTTCAGGACACGACAATGAGAAATGTTGAAGTTTATTGGCTTACTTTTAGCTACCTGTTAGCTCCTTAACTATCACTTGAGTGGCGCCTTGAACTTCAGCAAAGGCGTTGATGTTTGAGTTGCCTTGCAAAAAGGCGTGGCTCAGGCGGTACATGTCCTCCTCGGTTGCGTGTTTGCGTCGCTTGATACGACTAGCCATACCCTGCACATCTTTGATGCCCAGATTTTCCAATTCGCTTATTTTATCCTTGATTTGTCCCAAACCGAAGCGCAGTGCATCCGTTGTATCCATACGTAAATCTTTGCGTTGTTGTCGAGCATACTCCCGTGTCCTAAGCCGCAGGGCAGTGTCATTCACCTGTCCAAGTGGCTCGGACGTTTTTGCAGTTAGCTCCATTGTTTAAAATAAACTAAGCCGGCAAATTTACATTTATTTATACCGCCAGCTGTTGCTGAACAATTATTCCATGCGCCTTAGTAGAGAAACACTGGCAACTGTTCCTGTTGTTCTGTGGTATTTACAGATGTTATCTACGATAACATTTTAAAAATGGTATTTTTTTTGCAATACAAGATTATTTTTGTGATTGTCGCATGCGGTCACACTGCTACTCAGTTGCATAAACAGTCGAGCAAAACGCCAAACAAATAAAATGTCGTTCAATATAATGCAAAAGCTCTCCTTACAATGCCTGAAGGCCGACCAGCCGCTTTTGAGTAAGTAGCTGTCAACCCCATGAAAAATAAATTCCTTAATACCTGTCCATACTCGTGTAGCAACAATACGAAACGCCAGCAAGAAAACCGGCGGCAGCACACGCAACAAGAAGGGCCATCCGCGCCCAAAACATCGTGGATGGCGAGTGCTTGATGGGCACTATGTTTCCCAAGGAACAATATTGGCAACGCAATTAACGACGCGCTTCCATCCCGGCCTGAATGTGAGTTACTGCTGAGTACGCTGAAAATGTTTTATACCGGAAATTGTCCTATAGGTTGGCTTCGGACGCAACGGCACATTGTTCGCCATGGAACACGGCCGGGTTATTGTTAGCTGCGAGCCCATTGAACCAAACTGGGATCACACCTGGGTTCAGCGCAACTATGCCGGTCGACAAGATCAAACTATTTATAAGAAATTTTTCAATGTTATTCCCGAGAAGCAGCACCAGAGGTTTCGCCTCGTTGAGGAAATCTGAATTGTTTTAGATAAAAAAAAATACAAACAAAAACAAAAGTTGTTATCGTATGCACATTTTACTAACAATAGTACCCTTATTAAAATCCAGCAGGCTATCGCACTTTTTTGAATTACAATCCATCCACATTGCGGTATTTGCGTTACGCAGTGCTGCAAAAGACGCAACCACTTTTCGATAGCAAATATTCATATCTATCGGTATTACAAATGTCCTCGATTTACCGAACGCTTTTTTTCTGTGGTTCAACTCTAATGAAGTTGCTAAATGCATTTTATTGTTTAAGTGATTATATTTTTGGCCTGCAAACTGCAAACGCTTCGACGATTTATTACAAAATCCATTCACATATGCTACAGGCTTTGTTGAAAGCGCGGAGAAGCCCTAGACAACACTTTCCAAGAATTGACGCTGGCCAAAAAGACGCACCAGAGATTTCCAAACATCGTATCATAGAAAGGACTTGAGGGGCAAGCATAAAATCAGTCGAGGAGCAATTGTGGACGCTGCCTGAAAATGACGAAGCGACTTTCAAGAGATGATGTGAAAAGAAATAAAAGATGGAGCCCTGAAGAGGTGGATAAGATTTTTCAATTCATTCGAAAGAATCCGTTCGAATTACCCACCGGCACAATGTATTATAAGAAGATGGCACAAGACCTAAAACTCAATTCCAATCATACTGTGGTGCGCTGCAAAGTTAACAACCTGATAAAATCGTACAAGAGAGCGAAAGCTTTGATAGCCACCAATAAACAGTTTCCCATGGCGGAAGTCTTGAAAGCCTGCCCCTACTACAGGCAGCTGCATGAACTGTTCAAGAAATCCCTTCCGGGCCGGAGGAACACAATATGTGCAGGGAGCCAAATATCTGCGCGACATCCAAAGCTAGATGGCGACGGAGCGGCAACGGACATTGACGAAAGCATCGCCGACTGTTGGGCAAGTTCCCCAAGATTTATGGTGCAACTGCCCGCCCCAGCAAATGCGGATGCTCCTCTCGGAAATCTGTTTAAACCGGCTTGTGTCAAAAAAGAACATGTCCCCAGCTCGCCGGCGTTTTCCAAGCCAACAGAAATTGCATTGAGCAGCATTCAAGCACCCAGCGAGCAAATCGCCCCGCCACAGATAGACGAACCGATGCTAACTGAGTCCACGACCGTGCCACAACAAGCAACACCAAGCGAGTCATCCGCCGAACAAGAAGAGACCACCCAAGCTCGGCTCGATATAAGTAACACGTGTGCCGACTGCATCATACGAGAGATTACAGAGATTGATGTTTCCTCAACTGCTGCGCTATCAACTGAGACTGAATCCCAGGATGAGCCCATGGTACTCGCAAATCCCACCATAACTGTTCAGCAAGGAACCGTGCCCACCGAGACTGACTTTCGACTGATGGAGCTTCGTTTGCGGGAAAAGGAGTTGGACATTAAAATGTTGGACATTAAGGCAAACGAGCGGCTGGAGCGTCTTAAACTGGAATCGAAGGAGCGCATTGTCATGCGAAAACTTGATCTAAAATATGCCAAGAAATAGAAAACTTATTGCTGCGATTTTTTGTTTTTTGTTTTTTATAACTTATACTTAAAATTAATGAGTCCCGTGTTATAAGTTACTTACTATGATTAACAATACTTTTTGTTTACCCAATTTTAAATTTAAGTTATTTGAATAGTTTCAAAACGAAATCATTTCAACATGTTTTCCGATTGAATGCCTTTTGACTGATTTGTAGAATAAGTATGTTCAATCAAAATATGATTTTTTTATTTAACTTTACACACAATACAGCAACTTGTACAATAAATGAGCCTTTGGGCCCCAAAATTTTTTTTTTTTTTTTTTTTTTTATATTGCAAAAATAAATAGTTTGAAAAAACATTGAATTAAATAGTTCTAATAGTACAGAAGCATAACAGTGTCGTTGCAGTGTTGTTTGACATTGGCTTAGTTATTTCAAATACAATATATCGATAAGTTTTTCCCCTTTGGTCTACCCCAATCTATCGATAGTGCCATCGGCTTGACAGTTCTATTGCCGCCTGCCGCACACGTGTTTTGCATCGCAGCACATTGCTCGTATTATTTTTTTCGAGAAAATATCTAAATAGTTCAAAGAAAATCAAATACAATGGCCGCAGTTGCAGAAACACCAAATGCTGAGGTGAGCGCTGAAGTGAAGGAGGCTGAAAAGGTTGAAGATGTAGTCGAGTCCGAGGCCGACAAAAACGGAGATGTAAAGAAAGAGGAACCGGCGGCTGCCGCTGCTGAAGAATACAGTAAGCAAGAGCGCGCAATCATTCGGCAAGTTGAATACTACTTTGGCGATGCTAATCTGCATCGAGACAAATTCCTCAGCGAGCAGATATCAAAGAACGAGGGCGGCTGGGTGCCGCTCTCAGTGCTGGTCACATTCAAACGTTTGGCATCGCTTACCACAGACTTCGATGAGATTGTTAATGCACTGAACAAATCTGACGAGGGCCTGGTGGAGATCAGCGAGGACAAACAGAGCTTGCGCCGTCACCCCGAGCGACCCGTGCCGGAACACAATGAAGAGCGGCG